AATGTGTTCGTTATTTTTTTTTAAGTTTTTTTCGTGTTTTTCCAATTACAAGTATTATGAAAACCGTTCGGAAAATAAAAAAAATTTTTCTTTTCAATAGATTAACGAGATTTAAAGTGCAACCAAAAAGTCTATTGTCATTTTTTGATTAGACCAATAATACCGGTAAAAAAGTTGTTAATGGACAGGAAAAAAAAAATAAAAATCGTACTCATCAAGGCTGTAACTGAGAGGCTCTAATTTGGGGTGGTTCATCTCCCCTCCCACAAAAAAAAATTTGTTCGTGTTACACTATTGGTTGTGGAAAAATAATTATTTTGGTCAATAAAATTAGAATACCACACGTTTTTGGTTTACTATCCCACCCTCCCCTCACGCCACAAAACTGTTTTCCAATTACTGTTTTAGCACACACCATCATAGGTAGTGAAATCAATACATTCATCGCTCCACTCAAAATCTTAAATAATCTAATTATATTTTTTTAAATCTCGTCTGCAGAGCACCGGCAGCAGTATTATGTTTTAAACGTTAAGCCAATTACCACCGTCTAAACCTGTTCGGATTCGATTTCTCGCGCCCTTAATTTAATTTTAAATGCGGATCTTTAATTGTTATGATCATTGGAAGTACGCCGACAACAAAAAGTACCGTTTTCAAAAAGTAATTAAGGGGGTTGGTGACAATTTTCCGTATTCTATAAACATTTTTTTTTAAAATCTGAACAATATTTACATTACATACGTTCTTTACATTTTAACGACCCCTTAATTATGAAACTTTTCCACCGATCTACTGCCCGATGCCCATTTCTATCATACAGTCCGTCTTCCTACAGTGATTAGTCTGACTTTTAGATCTAAATCCACTTAATTCTATATCGATCTTCTTAAGAATAAAATTAATTTCCTAAGCATGCATTTAATTGAGGGTTTTTTTTTTTTTATTTACAAATTTCGTAATCATCAACTGCGCATTGAACTGTCATCTCGAAAAGAAAGACGCGCACCGCATAATCACGTATTCTACAATACTTTTATAGAATAATAATCGAACAAAAGATAACGTCTCGGACGCATAGCCACGGGAGTTCAACAGCGAATCGAAAGTCACGATTTCCTTGATGCGTGTGATCTACAGTGTTTCTAATAATGTTTACTTTATACCGTGGATTATTCCAACAATAATACGATTAGTCGGTGTTCGTTTGCTCTATGAACGCACGTCTATATAATATTCTATTAGCCCGTTAATATAAATGTTAATTAGTTCGAGACGTTAACATTATTAATAATTAATTTTTTACGCGATAAAACAGACTGTACTTTGTTTTCGACCGTGATTCACTTATTAAGTTATTCGTACGTATATGTACATAATACCATAGTCATAATCATTCAGTTTACTGCAGTAAAACAAAAATGTTTCGACTTCAAGTTATAATAACTTTGTCCGAGAGAGTTGAAAGCGGTAAACAACTATCGGAGAAAACGTATGAGATCAGTAGCCAGAAGGGATGTTGTTACCTCTCCTCCCATTGCTTATTTTTTCAGCTATAGGTAATATTAAACAGGTTGTAAACCTATAAACCTACCATGAACATACCTAAAATAAACTCACCCCCCCACCGTTGAAAACTCCTTTAAAATCTATACATACAACATTGCATGGTATTTTTACAGTAGACTTGTGAAAATCTCGAAAACATTTAAATTTAAAAAGAATATCAATCATTTCCTTTAAACTTAAATTCTATTTAATTATATCATTAGGCTATAACTTTTATAATTATAATATAATCTCTTAATAAACATTAAATAAATACGTTTATCTAACGTTTAAATAGTAAAAACAGTGAAGTATAAAATTTAAAATATCATAATGAATTGCCTACAATTTAATCATTTTCCTGTATATTTATTTATCCAATCACCTATTATTAATGAGTAAAGCACGGATTTATATATGCACTAAAAAGTATCAAAATGTTCAATAAAGGCGCAACAAAACAAATTTATATTTAAAAACTAAAAATTGTATTGGGTATAAAAAAAAAAAAAAACGTCTTAAGATAATAGAGACGGGTGCAGCCACTGTTTTAGGTAATTTAATGTATATCTGTAAGCAACGATAAACCATTGTTAACGAAAAAACGATTCTGAGCTTAGTTCAGTGAATAGTGATGCTTTGTCAGCAATATATATGTCACATAATGGTAAAATAATTAAATAGGCATTTTCTTAAATAATATTTGTTTAATATTATATAAATTTTTCCGTTTTTTCCGTTTTCCCACGTTTTTCCCTAATTATCACATTTGCTAAGAAAACTCTTGGCAAAATCGAAAAATGATCCCCTAAGGTACCTTCCCAGTCAGATTTACTTTCAGAAAAAGTACAATCATTGTAAATTCGAGCGAAATTTCTGGTAGAAAAGTTTGCACAACAAATCGAAGGGTAATTATCGATTAAAATCGTCCGAAGAAGCGATGACTAGGTCTCTAGGTACACTTAAAATGCATTTGTTTTTTCCCTATTTAAATAAAAGGGAAAAAAGTGCAAACAATTTTTTTTCAAACCCTGAGTTTGGTGAACCCTCGATCCTTAGCATGACAATACGTATTTATAACCATTCGACTACAACAAACATATAGTAAAGTGGACAATATAGATTTATTTAACATAAACATGTAATATCTGCATAATATCCAAACTTCAAAAAGCTATAATTTCGAACTTAGTCCGCTCAATTCTGACTTTACCATTCTTATTAAATCAGCAATACACATATGTTCGAGAAAAAAATTGAAAAGTTAGATTTGTTTTACATAATTTTTTACTCAAACAATATTCGTCAAAATGTAGTATCGAAATTCCTTTATAAAAACTAATATTACCTTAAATTCAATTTTTTTTTTAACCAGATTTAATAAACCTCCTGTTAAATGTTCAAGCATTTCTGTCAAATCTAACAATTTTACCACAGAGTACCAACCGAATAAAAATTACGTACAAAACTCGCAAAATTAAAATGTTTATAAATAACTTAAAAATGGATTAAATTTTTTGAAAAGTTTACCACTTTTAGAAAAAGCAAATATCACTGTTCCGTCCAAATTTCAAATCTCTACAAATATTTTTAACTGAATTACAACAAATAAATAATTGATAAAATAATAAAACCATTAATTTCGTACATTTTCTGTTTTTCTTACGTTTTATCCTAATTTTTCCAAGATATTATGAAACCCGCTGGGAAAATCAAAAATTGACCTCCCAAAAGTACCATCTAAATAACATTTACTTTCAGAAATGGCGCGGCGCGTATATATCTGAGTAATATTTATAGTCAAATTTTTGTAAATACAAATTTATTTGTATTTACAAAAAAAAATTAATATCTTAATAAAATCAATACATTCTTCGCTACACTCGGAATCCAAAAATATAAATGTATAAAGAACACACTCACAATAAATAAATACATACATATGTCTGTTTAAAAATAAAATGAAATGTAGCTACAACTCAAAATGTGTTTATTTTATGTATTATTAAAATTAATTATTAAATGATATTCAAGAAAAACTTTGGTGAAACCTTTGCCGTCGATCTGTTAAAAAATAACTTGTTTATCGAAAAGGATCGTTCAACATCTACTGAATTTTTTGATCAACTACATTGTTAAAAGAGCATAAAATCATTAGGTCTTGATAGATTTCATCTAGTTGAACCTCTCGCCTAATAATACTTTATTACTACGTATTGTATAATAATTTTAAGCCTTTGTTTTTGGAAAAAATGTCATTTAATTTTGTTTTTAATTTCACCCATTTAGGACAAGGAATAATGTTTATTTTTTCTTCTAATTTATTTATTAATGAAAAACTTTCAGATAAAGGCTTATTTTGAGTTTCTAGTTGTTTGATTATTTCAATTGAAACTGATAAATTAGATGATAAATGTTGATTTATTGACAATCGATCAATCTTTAATAGTATTAAATACTTTTTTAACACATTTTGCATCCGCTTCTGTGAGCTCTTCCATTACCATTTGGTATTTTATAGACTTATTTGATAAGAAATTATAAGATTTTCATAATTTTAAACTTTCGAAAATTTACATCAATAGTATCGAGTAACAGAACTGATGCTACATACTACTAATAGATAGGTGGGAAGTTTGCAAATAAAGTTACATAAAGTTGTTTATTTTATAACTGTTCGCGACTATAAATCGTCGCTGACGAAATATGATTCTTAGCAAAGTTTGGTTAAACATGTTTTGAAATATGGTAATTTTTACAACTTTCGTCGAAACTTAATATTAAAATTCTTATAAAAAAAAAAAAAACTCCTGCATTAAGCTCGATTTATTTGCACCATTATGTACAAATCGAACCGAACCTCGGGTTAAATTTCCAAGAATTTCTGATAGGCCAAACAATTTCATCCTCGTAAACCAAATAAAATTTTTAAAAAAATGAAATTTGAAATGTTTATAAATAGCCAGAATTGTAAATAATGAAACTATTATTTTCCTAAACTTTTCCGTTTTTCCCCAATTATCAAGCAAACCGAGAGGAAAATCAAAAAAAGATCTTTGCAATCGACTTGATAAAATTAATTTTAATTGATAAAATAATATTTCTGAAAGAAAAACAAAATCGAACAATCGAATTTTTCGTCCGCAGAAGTCGTCCGGGGAAGTTCGACGCGCGCGGAGTGGTGACAAGTCCGGAACGGGAGGCCCCGACGACGACGCTTTTGTGGGCGGCGGCGTCTTGTGCGGCAGCTATTGCGCGTTTTGTAATAATAATAATAATAATAATAATAATAATAACCGTAACGAGCGCGCGCGCGCGCTTCTCTCCCGCGCGTGAGCTACTTCCGAGAGACTGCGGTCACTTCCCCGGACCGGCTTGCCCATCGGCGGCGGCGGCGGTCACGGCGGACTCCGGCCGAACCGGCTTCTATAAAGTCACCGGGCGCGTGCACCGTCCGTTCATTGCTGCGTCCACTGTCCGACCGTGCCGGTACAACGTACATCCGCGCACACCAACGGCCCCCTTCGTACAACGTATCCGCCACACCGAGGTTCACGACGACCCACACGACCATTATGCACAAGTACGCGGTGCTGTCGTTGTTGGCCACGGTCGCTATTGTAGCGGCGCAAAATCCCGACGAAGGTTCGCCGCTCGTCGCCAGGAACGCGGTTGGCAGCCCCGCAAAGGCCGCAGCGGCCGACGACCTGACGTGGGCCGAAGTGATCGAATGCTACAAGAAGCCGCGTGCCGCCATCGGGTGTCTGCAGTCCCGGATGGACCGAGCCCTGGTGTCGTTGCGCGACTCGACCGTTAACATGGCCCGCAGCGACCCGGACACCCAGCCCGAAGACGTCACCGGCGTCGGCGAGCTGGTCCAACAGATCGGCGAGTTCATCTCGTACGGCATATCCACGTACTTCAACGGCGAAGAGGACGAGGCCAACGGGACCGCCGGGACCGCCGGAGTCGCAGCCGACGGGTCGATGGACGTAAACGAAGGTGAGTTATTTCAGTTTTGTTTTTGACGATCTTCGGGCGATGTACCGCGGACATAATAATAATAATAATAATAACAATAATAATAGTCTCTTGTCCGTAAAACTCAAACTTCCGTAGTACAACTGTTCCGAATTTCCTATACGCGTCAATTATTTCGAACTTCCCGTCTACCTCCGCACACATTCGATCGACTCGTATCGAAACCAACCCCCGGGGGGAGGGGGACGGGGGTATACCGTGAGCCCCGGACGACATTTTTACCGTATACCGCGCGTCAACACGTTCCAAAAGTGACCGAGCGGTTCGTTCGGTTTTCATTCTAATCGGGGATGTTAAAGGACAACTCGTTTGAGTGATACCATTGCCACAAGGCGTCGCTCGGTGGTTTTTTTTTTTTTCATACACGTATGACCGCGATGAATCGAGGCATTTAAACAGGGTTTTTCGCGTGGTTTCTGTACGCGCGGTCACTTTTGCCACGGCGACGATATAATATTTTCCGACACCGAGTCAGTTCGCAAACGCCCGCGTTTATAATGTTTCTCGCGACGAACGTCATTGTAAACGTAATGTGTCCGACGGGTGGGAGGTGTAGTTTTTCGGAGCGACGGGTGACTAAACGCACACGCGCACGGTGTATAATTTGTTGGCCAGTTTGTACACGGTTATTTTAGGCACAAACTGGGCATAAACTGGGCACACGGCAATAATAATAATTATTGAGTAAATAATATTACGGGAAACGTGCGATCACGACGAGCGGCAGCTAGAGAGTCGCCGGGCAACAATGATTTAAATAGTTATAAAACATAAAATTCGATAACCTCCCCGGTCGAAACCACACACACTGTGTTTTTTTTCTTTTTTTTTTTCTTATTTACTGATATTTCGTTTAAGGCTTTCCGTATATTTGTGTACAAACTAAAGTACGAGTCATAAGTTTACGAACGGTTCGACTATAACTTTATTGCGATCAGTTCGAGAATTCCGGGGGCGGGCGCTGACGAGTGAAAAATGTCAAAGAGTCAAATTGATATTGTTTTAATCTTTGATGACTTATTGTATTTTTTTCTTTTTGCCATCAACTTGTAATAATATTTACGAGTCGGTTATGTATATCGCGTTAAGCCGTAAATCTCGATTTTTGATTTTTTTTTTTTTTTCAACGACATAAACTTGTTGAACTATTTGAATATATTTGGTACAAATGAACCATGTTCGTTTTCCACTCAGTAACGTGTGCGGGGATCCGGCAGTTTCGAAAAGATACAATTTGCATTCATTTTTCCAGCACGTGTTCCGAAACTACGAAAGTCCTCGTTTCTTTTTCCTATTTTACAGAAAAAACTGTTTTGTAATTTTTAATGTCGATATTGTATTATACTATCATCGTGTACGACGACGTAATAACCATAATTAAATCGACCCGCCTCGAGTATCGACAATGATGGATTTTTTGAATCGACAATTTAAAGGTCGGATCCAAATAGGTTTATATAGGTTACGAGTGAACAAAATACTTCGTTCACGCGGTATGATATTATATTTTATATCAACCGGACTTAAAACCGTACGGACCATAACGCAATAATCATCGTGCCCGCGTCCTGCCAAACACGCATCGTTATGACATCAAATGTGTACAAAATACGTACATACGAATGGCCAAAGTTTAAAAACACGACTCGATATAAAAAAAAAAAAAAAAAAAAACTAAACCCCTCCGATTTTAAACGCCGCCGGGACCGATGATTTTCGAAAAAATCTACCGGAAATAAAAACAAAACGAAAATCCGCCCAAAACCGTTTATACACGCGCGCGGTTTGTCGTTTTTGCCGCACATTACTATTATTATCGTTACGGATAGTCCGGCGTGGCCCCGTAACACTGAAACCTAACCCGTAATACCTACGCGCGCCGGGACACCAAAACAACACCGAGTGGCCGCCGTATTATCATTGTTATTACCGGTAATGCCGCCGACACTCGTGCCCGGTCGCAACACTATCACAAACGGGTACTTGCTCGCGGTATAGGTACTTAACACCGCGGTATACGCGGTCACGTTCGTACGCCGTCATTAATTACACGGAGACTCGCAAAACCGGTCGGCGAGCCACTCGGCACATAATATTATCGTCCGCACGCCGGACAAACGTCATTGTCGCCGAACCGAGAGATTTGACGGTCAACCGCCGTCGAATTATTATTATTTTTTTTTTTTTTTTATTTTTCACCCCGTAACCCGTAACGGTAATGTTGTTACGGTACGGTATCGCGCGGGGCCCGGTCAACCGGAAGGCTGCGGGTTAAGGGCGCCGATCGGCCCCGTATTGAACGGGGCGGGGGGGGGGGGGAGGGTGGAAAAAGGGGCGCCATGATTTTCGATTTCGTTTCGATCGGTTCCCTTCGCAAAACCGCGTAGCTCTCTCTCCGCGTGCATTTAGCGCGAGTCCGTGTTATAATACGCGTATCCGGTCGTCTTTGTTTTTTATTATTATTTTAGGGCGCGCGAGAATTTATAGGGATGGACGGTAATTATTACACGATGAGCAAAAGAGGCGAAAAAAAAAAAATAACAAACGCATAATCGGTCGGTGTTCATACACGTGCATTGAATTGAAATCGACAGCCGCACTCGATCGTGCATTCGGTTTATCGCGGTGCACGGTGTACGGTTCGGTATTGAATCGGTTGTCGCGCCCGCGTACACGAATCGCGTCCGCCAGCCCAACCGATCATATTTAATCTACAAGTGATGCGCGTGTGGCTCGCCGTGTCTCGTCCGGGTGTGTGTTGACGCGTCACTCCGCGGTAATGTTGTACACCGAGTTTGGCGCGTGGTCTCGCGAGCGTTTCGGATCGGACGGGTTGGACGTTTAGCGCCCGTAAATAATGTTCGGTTTCCGTTACACTAGAAACACCGGAAATCGGTACGGAATGTTTCTCCTGCCCTCGCCCGTCAAACGCGTATTAACACAATAACGTAATCCGAACCGACGAAATTATTCGCACGGTGTTTTTACAAACGTTTACCGCCGTTGTCGCGGACCGGTTTCCCGAGTACCCGATTTACGTTTTCGACCGTACAGGCGATACGCGGTTTTTTTTACCGGGCGGCGGATCATCCGTCCGCGGTCCGGATCGCCGTGGATTTTCGAAGGGTTAAAAGGGAAAACGATAGAAAAGAAAAAAAAAAACGATTTTCCGTCCCATTCGCCCGGACCTAATCTATACGCGTTACGGTCGCTCGCGATAAAACGACATTCGACATTTTCCGCATTTTTATCGTCACCTACTTTTCGCCCCGAACCCGAAACCCCGCTACCCCCGACCAAACGAAAAACAACAATATAACTGCGACCTAAACTAGAAATCGAATAATATTATATTATTATTGTTGTTGTTATTATAGGTAACGAATAACACAAACAGACGCGCACGTGTGATTTTTTTTTTTTTTACGAGTAATATTATACGCGCTCCTCGCACATCACATCGAAAACGGAGAATAGTCGTAGAAATATTTCGATACGTCGACGCCTATATACTGTGACGACGTGTGTGTGTGTGTGTGGGAGTGACAACGTCATGATAGTATAATAATATTGACGGGAACGCGATCGAATAATAATAATGAACAACACGACGTATGTGTGTGGATGACAAAAGGATTTTTCAAATTGACTCGTGTTTATTGTCAATGACAATAACTGCGTATACATATACGATACACTCGTCCCAAACGCAATTACTTATAATAATATACGCGACCGATCCGAGATTTCTATTTTTTTTTTTTCCGTTCGTTTGTTTGCTAGGATATTATTATGGTGCGATAATTTCGCCAGCGGTGGGTTTTATTGAAATGCGCATGTTGTGTTGTGTTGTGTTTTTTTTTTTTTTTTTTTTTCCCAAAGTGAAAACGCTACAGAGGTATATGATTCACGATTCGTACGACGCACGATTATACAGCCACAAGAAAATATTATGATTATTAGTCTGTGTTTTAAATTATCATCGCCTCCGTCCCCGGGTGATAATCGTACGCGTATGTGTTGCGTCCGCGCTTTTTGTTATTATTATTATTATACACCTACCTCGGTCGTGAAGGCGACGACGCGTCGTTCCCGGGACTTTCTAAGCTTCGGTTTTTTTTTTTTTTTATCTTATTTGTTTTTTTCCGTCTCTCACTCTCTCTCTCTCTCACTCTCTCTCTCTCTCTCTCTCTCTCTGTTTCTGTCTGTCTGTTTCGCGTCTCCGATGCACGCGCCCGCCGACGAATCGTCGCAAATCCGACGATCCGAATAAACTATTATTATTCTCGTCGTCGAGTTTGCCGATAACGGTTTCCGTCGGCGTCCCCGAGCGAACGGACGACGGCAGGCATGACGTTTAGGGGAGGGATTTAATACCTATGAATAATAATGCCTTTCAGAAATCTGTGTAGAAGTTCAAAATGTTCATAAATCATAGTCGCTAATCCTAATGTAGATGGTTGTGTCTATCGCATTAAACGGTCAGTGGTCGCATTAGTTAAAAGTATAATTTTTGGACCAAAAGGATATTATGCCCACCACCTTATCCCTAGAAGCCGAATTGAATCCGCCGCTGGACGACGGTTTACACGCCCGGTTTTAATTTTGGACGTACAATAATAACACGAAGCGTAAAAAACTGCCGTAATTCAGCGGACGAGGTTGCATCGCGTACCCTTAGCCGAGGAAAGCCGCGTTGTCAATACCCGACGACGACGTTCGGGTGTGAATATTTCATTCGACTGTAACGGGTCGCGGTCGGGTTTCTGTCGTTTTATTGGGGCGGTCGAAAGAAAGGACGTGTACAATATGCATAGAGAGTGGATAATTTATAACTTAGGCAGTGCGCGATTATTAACCGTCGCCAACGAAAAATGATTCTGAACGGAGTGTTATGAGTCGTGCTTGTTCCCTTATCACCGACCGCCGACCATACTTCAATCAAATTCGTACGAAAAAGTTTTTCCCGTTTCTATTAGAAAACTACTGCGGAAATCGAAAAATTACCTACACTCGACGCACCGACACACCATTTTAAAAACGATACCCGGTTTCGGTGATTTCCGGTGTAAACGTTGTTTACAGTCACACGGATTTAAGAATACCTAACCGTAGTAAAACCAATACGGTGCTCGGTTATTCAGAATCTTGCAATGCGCACAAATCGCCGAAGATTATAATAACGTATTATAACCGAGATGTCCGTATTCCGCGGAGAAAGTCCGTCTATATCGTGTGCGGGGAGCGGGGTGGTACACGTTTCGGAAATGACGAATCCGGAAGAAAATAAATTAAAATACATACGTAATAGGTCGGCGTGTGACCTAAGTCGACCTCGTGAACTCCTCGACATTTTATTTTTTTTTACGTTTCTGATTTCTTCGCGGTTTCGTCGAGTCGCGTTGAGTATCATTATGATTTTCGTAGACGCATACGCATTTAATAACTGTTATTGGCTGGTTTATTTACGAAATACTTTATCGCCAAACCAGTTTTCCCGAAGTGTTACGACAGAGGACAAAATTAATGTAAACGTCCGTAGTGTACCCACTAAACATAGATTATAATACATATATAAAGAATCTGTTATAATAAGAGAGGACGCGTGCATAGTATTATGAGCGGGTAAACAGTTAAACCAGTTTATTCAAATCCGCGACGAAAATATTTAAGATAAATTCCATATTTATTAGTAGGGCACGGATTTAAATGCACTTAAAATCAACAAAAAAGCGTTTAGAAACGTCAAAAAAGCTCTACAAATTACTTAAAATATATTTAAAAGAGCAATAAAGGTAAAGTTTCACCTTCTATGGTTTCTAACTTATTAGAAATCATTTTTTAACACTAAAAAAGTGTGCTTTGTGTTAATCATTTGTCAGCGTTAGAAAAATATATTTAATTGGGTAAGAATCGTCAGAGTGGGTACCTTAAAACTCGTCTACCACTTTTGTTTTTTAAAATATTTTTAAGTGCTTTTTTGACGATCTAAGCACTTTTTTACGAATTTTAAGTGTATTTAAATCCGTGTCCTACTTATTAGTTATTATTATTATGAGCGAAATATCTGCTAAATATTATTTTATATTCACGTGTGAAAACCGTGAAGAGGAGTAGGGGAATTTGATTAAAAATAATAACTGCCGATTATAATATCATCATTTAAATAGAATTATACGTCTTCTATAGCCGTGGAGTAAATGGCAGTTTGGAAGTTAAAATATAATGATAATACGTCAGAATGATAAAAACACAGTGTTTCGATTGGTTGCCTTCGAGACAGAAGGAAGAAAGGTTTAATCTTTCCTAATATACCACTGTTTCTATCCGTTTGCTAAGTTTCCCGTGTCCTCGGATAAGGTGTGCTCCGTCCCATCTATGGTTTAACTTTGGTACCGGGGAAGAAGCGTTTAAGTCAATTGTGTAAAGGAGAAAAATCACACAAGAAAAAAGCGTGAAAAGAAAAAGCCGGAAACTGGCTTCTTCAGCGGGTCCAAAGATCTACGTCTACGGTTACTATATGTAGGTGTGAGCTGCACCAGAGTGCTAAAAACTGCAGTATGAATACGTGACGTAACGAGATTTTATCGACGATTATAATTATACACATAATAAAAAAACACAATATTACTAAATAGATTGGTATACCGAGGTATAATGTCCGGCCAGGGCGATGACGATGTATTATCATGCACCACGCGAACCGGATATTTGTCTTAACCATTATAATTACACGGTGGAACAAATATTATACCGTAGGTACCGAACCGGAACGGCCTCGGCGGTGTTTATATCGCGGGTATGTTATTACCACATATTATTATCGGGCAGGTTACATTATATCCTATAATACCTATTATACGAACACTGACCTATCCAAACGAAATCCCCTTAGACCGCAGGTTTCCAACGCAGTCTCGTTATCCTCACTTCGCTGTACTCGATCTAACCTACAGTTTCAAACGAGAAAAATGGACACTTGGGTATTCGATCCGTTACTCGGCTAAAGTGTTTAGCGTAAAGTTTCCACCCGCAGTCGAGAAATCGATTTTTCGCCATAAATATTAGATGAAAGGGGGAATAGTAAGGAAGTGTCCTCGATTATTAAACTTTTACAGACCGCATTTAAAATCCACCTCCTTTTCTTTAACGCCATTTTCGAAATTATTTATTTTGTATTTTAGTACAATATAATTTTTTATAACATTGAAATTTTAACCGGTTTAATGAAAATGTAAAAAAAAAAAACGCTAAGCCCGCACACTGCAGTGGCGAAAAATTTCGACCAGATTTTTAATTTGACGACCTTTGTTATTCTTATACTTGTTAATCCTAACCACCAGAGTAAAACGCGCGTTCTTTTCGTTTAGTTGAAAAAAAAAAATAAAAACAAAAACATATTTCCGAGCGAATCTGATTATAATAATTTAATTGTATTCATAAAATAATAATTGCTCTAGTGCTCATTAATCGTGTCCGCGCGATATGAATTTCTAATGAAATACGTATCCCTCGATTGCACTTTACGCTTTTTAATCCAGTACTCATATTATAAAACGCGTCAATTACTTAGACCGTAAAATTTAAACTTAAACATTGTTTGGAAATTTTTGTATTCTGACTTTTTAAATTTCACGGTACATAAATGTAATAAACGGAATTAACGAATCGTTGAACGTTTTTTTCATAATTAGTTTTGATTTCAATGTGAATAACCATCCACATCGAATAATATACGTAAATATTAAACAGTGACACAGAAAAGCATTTTTTTCTCTTTTAGTAGGTCGCTCGGTCGAAATATCACGTCCAAATGTTCGATTTGTTTTCGTCCTCTTTAACCCCGCTCCTCCCTCAAAAAAAAAATTGCTTTTTGATGAGTAATAAATGTCCAAATGGTTTCTCTTTAACCTCTTAAACGCTGTTCGACAGTTTTGCTTTCTCTAATTAGTCCGTAATCACCGGCTTATAGATCTGTAATATTTTCCGTAACTCCAAAAAAAAAGATTTTTCAATGTTTACATGATGTTCAATTGAAATAAGCGATAGCGCGCCATCGTTTAAAAGCACGCTGTTTGTGGGGGGGGAAAATGTATTATCTCACGAAACTGCTAATAAAAATACAAAAAAAATCGTCGAAATCATCTCCGTTATAAAAAAATATTGTTATTTTGGAAATGGGACTTTTTCATCGCAAAAGTTTTTTCTCTCCCGAACAGTGTCGCCTTTATGGAGCTACGACAATGATAATGATTGGGAATTAAGCCGACAGTATAGCGGAACGTTTAAAATACACACATCCGCGAGAAATGAAATATTATCTCCGTACGTGTCAATCGTGTGAATAATCAGTGGCGTATCCAGAGCAGAGAGTTTTGGATGTTGTAAACCCCCTCTATTGCTTTTTTATTTTATCTATGAGTAAGTTTAAATCCCCATTGATAAATTCTAGATACGACACTGTGTATATATATTGTATTATTGTTTCTCAATCTTGCCGGCGATTATTTTCATTTTTTTTATCGGTTTTCTAATGTTATACTCTCGTTACAATATCTCGTGTTCTAGTAAAGTCGTAGATTAAACGTGTTTTTTTATTTATTTTTTTTTATACGTGGTGCGGAAAACACCGGTGGAGGCAAACGATTATTATAACATACACGCTCGTTCCCCCCCCCCGCCACTCAACCGTTAATAATAATAATAATATTATTATTTTTTACCGGTTATCCGGTTATACGAGAGATTTTTCCGTAATAACTGCCCTCCCTCCGCCTCCCCTAGAATCATTTGTATCTAATCGAAGGAAAAAAAAACCAAGACTTGTAATTAGCAGGTACACACGCGGTGAAAGTATAAGACTCGCGCTACACCACCGAAGATGATATTTTCACTAGCGTAATTTACACGGACAAACTCGAACTCCGTTTTCGTACGATATTTATATTTTTTTCTCCGGTCCCGTACCGCAGTACATAGGCTGTGGCGAGTCTGAAGTTCGTTTAAGGGACGGTATGGGGGGGGAGCGAACCACTAATATAAGTAATACAAGCCGTCGTTATATAGGATGCGTAGACATGCTTGTATATTATATGTTTTTTTTGTTCGATTTTTAATTTTCTTCAATAAAGACTTGTAAATATCCTATTATTATTTTATTTTTTTCATCGGTCATTTGAAATCTTTTTTAATTTAAAATTCAGCAGCCCACCCTTTATCTTTCTTTTAATCTCAATTACAGAGTTTTCAATGGGGGGGGGAGTTGTTTAAAAAGCGTTTGCACTATAGAAGGAGGTGATAACTTTAAAATAAGGTTGATAAACACAGATTCATACTTTCTCAGAACTCTGGTATATAATCCAATTGACGATATTTTTTTAAAAAAAAGTCCAAGGGGTAACGATCACCACAAACGACTGATAACTAGTATAGATACATGAAAAATGTATAATATATTAACGACACTATTTGATGTACGAGGTCGATTGTGAAAACATTTACTACGTAAAGTCTTTACTTTTGTTATTCGATTTATTGAAAACATGAGTATAATATTTTTCTGAGGGGGAAAAAAATATAATGAAAAAATCTCATTTTAATCGATCCTATGTACCTACTCCGGTCTTTATAAACTACCTACAACAAACGTCACGATCGGAATAGAAATCCTTTGGTTTGTTCGCGCGCACGGCCGCAGAAATAATCGCCGGATTCCTCGGCGATTTCGTGATTTTTTTTTTATTTCATTACATTTTCGTCATCCGGTTCTTCCGAACGTCTATCCGGGTTTTTTTTTTTTATTACATTCGTATACAACGACTATAATCGCGGACGGTAGGCAGGTTCTTATAAGTTCACTGTCAAGGATACGGGATATCATTTCCATAAATACGCCACACACGCAAACGTATTATTTTCGTTATTCCGTACCTAACAGTCAGGTTGGGTTTTATATGTAGGTCGACTAGTTTTTTTTTTTTTTTTTAAGACGACTTCAACTTTAACAACCGCGATGCGTCTATATACATATAGCTCGCGAAACCGGTTGTGTAAATTATTTATATTAAGATTAGTCAAGATAGATCGACCGACAATAAATTAACGAAAATCTAGGCCACGTGTCGAAAAAGTACTATTTATGACCGGTTAAGTGTGGAAAATAATAAATAAATAAAAAACAACCGTTTTTCGATCAACGACCCACCGGAATCGGCGGCCTTCCGACAAGACGACGTAAGTCTGTCGTAGCAAGTTTCCGTTTTCTCGGCATTCCGACAGATACGACCCGTTTTGTTTCCCCTCTAGCGCAATATCGCGACGTGCTTTCGAATATCAATAAAAATGTTCACCGAGCTCGTTAAATCCGATATTATATATTAAATTATACGGCCATGTCGAACAACAGTATTGCATTTCCCGCCGTCAAGCCCCGCGACACGAATAGCATTTTATAGACAATATTCTTTGACCGCCCGCGAGCCACTGCAGTGGCACATTATTTTAGATTTTATTTGAGAAATGTCTAAAATTTAAATTTTCACGGTACATTTCTATTTTATTATTATTTTTATCGCGTATCACTAGAATCACCGTTGTTTATATTATTATTATTATAGAATACTATTAACGTTTCGATTTTCGTTTTTGTCCGCAGGCAGAGGACACCACAAGAAGAAGAAGATCCAAAAGGAAATCAAAAAATTCGTCTTGAAGATTTTATTCGGTGTCTACTTGATCCATCAAAAAATCAAGATGATCCTCATGTCCATCCAATCGATACTGATGAGCAAGTTCTTGATCGTGGCCATGATCTACGCGCTGTCCAACACATTCAAGATTTGGTACGACATCAAGAAGAGCAAGCACCACCATCACGACAAGGTCGTGTACTACGAGAACGCACACCACCAGCACCATTACGAGCCGCCAGAGCACACCGAAGAGGACGAACACCACCACGGCTGGGGCAGTGACTGGGGCAGGAGCATCACCGTTGAACCGTCCGTGATCGAAAACAGACCGAACGGCCCGCAATCACCCGGAGACATCAGCCGATTCATCAGACGCGTCTCGAGGACGGCCATCAAAGAGCCGGCGGACGCACAGACCATGGCTTTTGGCGCCCAGCGCCCGGCACGGTCGGCTTAAGCCGGTAAACCGTTACCTCACGCCATCGTTCGCCCTGCCCCCTCCCTCCCCTCGTTATGACCCGAAAATTATTTGGGCATTTTTTTTTGTTTCCATTCGCCATCATTTTTGTACAGCTGTCACAGCATCCACATCATACAATTATTATTCGTTCACGCTGAGTTAACAAATATATAATATACATTTATACATATATGAGGAGCAACAAATTATAATCTAAAAGAAAAAAATCAAAATAAAAAACCAAAAAAAAAAAAACAACAACATATTATAATATTATGTACACCGAGTCGTATTAATTATCAACGTCGTTATCGATATACGAACTCGCGTGCACATTGCATCCTTATTTATTTATTTATTTATTTCAAAATCATAATTTATTATAACTGTTTATAATAAATAATAGATATATCATATTATCATTAACAAAATATAGTATTTTTAGGCTTTGTAGTTTGACTACTCGTAATAGTCTGGTCAGTTACTATTTTTTATTTTTATTTATTTATTTATTTTTTTTTTTTGTATAATTATAATAATAATAATTTTCACGTTTAGTAATTATAAATAATATTATATTATATATATATATATATATATATATATATATATAGTAGTTAGACGACTACTATATTTGAGACTTTCTTGTTCTATTTAATTTATACATATATTATTGAAACTTAATCGATGTCCTTTATCGCGTGTGCCTACATTTTATCATAATAATATTATGTAACGAGCACGTTAACACTATTATACTATAAACTAGTAATATTATTACACTATGTCAATGTTATAAACTCTGCCTAAAAAATTGCTCAATATTATCGCTTCTTATCGGTCCACTGTAACGGCATTGCATTTACAATTATTGTTTCGATCAAAATGTATTAGCGTGCGATAATATCGGTACAATAATAATAATAATATATTGCACCGGGAATATAATATTATAATATCGTTTGGCCTAGACGGAAACAAATTGTTATTATTGTATACACTAACAAAATAACGGCGACACTGTACATCCGATTAATGTACTATTTATTATTATTATTATTTATATTTATTTACTTTTGTATTTAATTATTTATTTATTTATTTATTTATTTATTTATTTATTTATTTAAATTGATTTATACATCATATTATAATTTATTTATTACATTATTATTTTAAACCTATACGTTTTGTTTTTACGTCCGAATTTTCATTTGTTTCGATTTGTCTTTTTTGTTCTTTTATTGTCTACACGGCCTTGAAGACCACACCGACAAACAAAAACCTAATTTCACTCGACCGTTCCATTGTCCAAAGCTCCGATTCTCTCCATTGTACTCCCGGAGGTTCTTTTCTTTTTACTACGTTTCTCATCTGGTCTTCCCTTCTTGAACGTGAACGTCCCAATGTGTTGTTATACCTTCGGAATATCCAGATTGAACTGATTTAACTGCGATTATTCTCTCGTCCTTTACTTCGTCAATGCCAATGTAGTTGTCCTTATTTCGATTATAATAATTAATATTATTTAGTATATTCGTGCATATCATTTGTAGGACAGGATAGATAAAAAAAAAAATCATAGCAAAACCCTATTTTGTATATCTCGGGGTTTAAACTAAATTACATTATATATATCCTAATCCGACCTTTCCAGTCTCATACCTCTAATAGTGACCTAGCCGTTTAGAGAACACAATAATACATTATCCCGAACTGAAGCGATTAAGTACACATACGTACGATAACAATAAAACACCCGATGTCCTGAACACCCTTTCCTACGGCTCGTGAATTCTATCACAAGTATACATATCTATAAATATACCTATAAAGAAGTCCGCTGTTATTCTAAAAATAAACTTCAACAATTATACAGATTTGAGCTTTATAAAAAAGAGGTCTAATAGAGACCATAGAGAACTAAACCCAGGAGTACTGAACCCACTCTTCAGATTAATTTTTAGCCACATAACTTGCTCCAGTCATCAACTTTATTAAATTTTTTTGATAGTTTAGTTAGTCCATTGAAGTTATTTTTTCCCTTGTATTTTTCTTAATAATAGGAAAGATTTTATTTTTCAGTTACAAAATATTAAATTTGACAAGAGTCAACATAATTGGACATGTTAAGCGTTATCTAAATAAACAATCAATGGTATTTTATCTTATCCAGATAATTAATAAAATAAGCAATCTTATCTTTATTTTATATGAATAATTTAACTATCTAAATTAATATATTCAAATAGCTGTATGTATTAATTATACTAGTTTGTAAATGTATGTTTTATCTGTCTATAAACAACATTTTTACCACAAATCTTGATCATCAATAGTGTAGTATCTGACACTGCAGACGCACATTCGACATGTCCAGGAGCGTCTCTAGACATTGATTATGGGGAGGGGTAGAGATAATTAAATTTAATATTAACACGATGAATGGACCACTGTAGAAGTTGGGAAGGTAGAATATGGAAAGAAATTTAATGTATAATTGTACTTAAGGAAATTTAAGCATTGGCAACAAAAAACGATTCTGAGCGGAGCTCGGTTAATAGCATTGCTCAGGGGCGTCTTCAGGTCAATCCCATGGGGGGGGGGGGCAACGATCAATTTTTACTCTTGAATATCACCACTTTGGTCATCAAAAACTTAAAACATAAATGTTTGATGTCATTTCAACTTATATTAGCTTAGAAGACTGCAGATATATTGTACAAATGCAGTAAAACAGTGCAATTTAAAAATTAATTTTTTTTCCATATTAAATAAATAATAATTAATGTAATGATGATGTGAATAACCAAAATATTAATAATAATAGTTAATAATAAAAGTTAGATGACCAAGTCCAAAATACTTTTATTTTAAGCAACGTTTTTCAAGCATATTGATCAACAATATTGTCTATATTAATGTTTTTATTTTGATGAATATTTAAAAGTGATAAGCCAGTTAGCCTCTGCTCAACATTTTTTTTTACTAATAATTACGATTTTTAATGAACCTCATGTTAAATTCTCAAGTATTTCTGTTTGGTCTATCAATTTTATACATAATTATACATACCGAATAATAATACCTACCGAAAAATTAAAATGTATTAAAAATTACTCAACAATTTTACTACGTCAAGAAAAGGCAAATAAAAGTTTTCTGACTAAACTTTAAGTCTCTACGAATGTTTTTAACTGAAATACAATAAAAAACAATAAAAAAATTATTTCCGTAAATTTTCCCCGGTTTTCTTACGTTTCATCCTGGGTTTTACTGATATATGAAAACTGCTTGGAAAATCAAAAAATTGACATTTCTAATTGATAAAGTACCATCTAGTCAGTATAACAATATTTTCTTTCAAAAAACGTGCTACACTTACATATTGAAGCAAGATTTCTGGTAGAAATTTTTGTCACAGTATGAAAAAAAACATTTAATTAATTGACGAGTAGTTAAGTAAGTAAATTATTAAAATTTAAAATTTGTATGTTTTATTTATCTAAATAAATATTGTTTTAAATGTATCTTCATTTAGATTAAATTACACTTTTACATACTTCATATACTTTTATAAATATATATTTACACTTTTACAGAACTATATGTATATATCTTTATCTAAATACATTTTTAATTATCTTTACCTAACATTTCTAATTGAAGTCGCTGCAATCTCTGATACAGTCACCCGGATTTTACCTAATCCACCTAGCTGATTGCACATTTGCACTAATTAATCAACAACGTATAAATAATCATATAACACAATTATGTGCGTATTTGGCGAAATGACCTTAACAAAAAGTCTCTTATAATGAACATATAATTTAACATATTTAGCTCTCTTATCCCTACAGATTGAAAAATCACGGATCTCCAGTGTGTTGTGTTAATAGGTTTACAAGCTGTACCTCTAGCGTGATTCTGTTTATTTTATTATTTGTAAATAATGCGTTGATATGATATATTTGTATCATTACGTACTTGGTGATTGGTTGTATTAACGATTATTTTGTTTATGATACTTTTTCGACTACAGGACTATAGTGTCTTATCGCCTGGTACCAATCGAAAATCGATAACTATTCGAAGCAAACGTCACTAACCTATAATTCTAGGTTCTTTTTATCGTTAAACATTTTGTCCATAAATATTTCGACCGAAAATAACCCAAATAACGTCTCCTCGATCCCCGTCATCAATATGGTTTCTACAATTTTATTTGAAAACCCACGAATTATAATTATCTGTCATTGGAGTGACTTAATTTATCCTCTCCTTCTTCTGAAAGTTTTTGCCGCAACACAATCCCATCAACACTTTACTCGATCCTGAACTATTTCTCTCCACTCATATACTTTCATATTCGATAAAAAATTGTAGAATTTTTTAATAATATTTGATAAATCGGATGATAACAATAATATTTTATTGCTATGATGATATTAGAATAAAATCGAAAATTATCTTAACTACAGTTAATAAATGTATATACTTTTTATACGAAAACAATATTTAAATTATTTGAATTTATTTGAATTTATTTAAATATGACCAAAAAATGTGTGATAATAGATTTGCCGAGAATTTTTTTTATCCTCGCTACGTCAAGTTTGTTTGTTTTTCCTTCCAAAAATGATTTCTTCGGTTAAAATAAAGTGGCTTTATAAACTTACGCTTAAATTTTAAAATTCTATTTGATTTGTGTATACTATAATATTCAAATAATAACTATATTTTATTACTTAAATTGTAATATTATAATATAAGAGCACATAATATTTGTATTTTTTATTTGAACCGAAAACAATATCATAATAATTGTTTACGCGACTACTTTGTTTTGTGTTGTTATTTTTCAACCGCATTTAAAAGGGTTCACCGTAAGTATTATAATATATAACCACAATAAATATAACACGCGATGAACTTTACTATATATTCTAAGTGAAGACAAAATATAATGTTTTACGTCATCGGCTCACAAAGTAAAATAACTTGTAACAAATATTCGCTTAATACGCTAATTATTATTATAATATTCAAACGATTAATATCAAACGAATAATAAATAATATTATTAAATGACGTAAGTATATATTGTTAGATATTTTGAATCTATGTTGAAAAAGATAATATTGTCTAGAAATTATCATTATTATTGGTGTTGACTATCGGGTCGGCGTTTTCGGGCTGCTTCATCAACTGAAGTTTCTCGTCATTGTCATGATTTTGCAGATTCGAGCATTCCATTGGACTGATCCTTAGATAAAAATTGATACATTTTAAAATAGTATTGTACTCGTCTACTCGTCTACGATAATATTACCTCTTGCAACGGAGTATGTTGGGCAGACCGGTAAATTCGCAATAAATTCCGTAGAAAGGCAGACAAATAGTAAAGTAGTCTCTGGAGTCTAAAAGAAAATTTAAAACAAATATTAATATTATCAATGATTATTATTTAATATTTGCATATTATTTTAAATTGTAAAATTTTCCCCAAAAACGGAGACTATTGCAAGTAGTGTATTGTACTCGTGTATGTATATTATGTATTTTTTTTCGTGCTACTTTTGGATATTTCTAGCAGCTCTCTCTAAATCAATTGAGTTCAAGCTAAAGAATTAGAGATGTTTTATAGGCGGATTTCAGTGATACAAGTTAGGTTGAATTTAAATATGAATTTAATGATGTTATATATTGTGGAAGGTGTTAATTTAACTTTTACACCCCTACAGACGCCCATGAAGTAAATGAAGTAAAAAGAATGGAATTCGATTATGCCTGGCAATAGTATTAAATAAATGCCTTTAGGGATTTTCAACTTTCAACTCCTGCCAGACCTTTTTACATTCATGAAACATGCTAAACAATCTTGTGCAACCCACGATAAAACTAAACTTACGAATTACAGGTCATTACTTTTAGGGGTATTATACGGCACTAAACAGAAATTCGTACGACGAAGACCTTTATTGGTCATTATTGCGAAAATTCAAAATGAAGCCTGAAAGCAAATTGCAATATTAATATTTGGCTCTTTCCAAAAACTCATTGAGAACCGCTGCTTTAGAAGGTTACAATTTTAAATTATCGCTCTCGCTGTCTATATGTTAGCAACAATCTTGACAACTACTCTATCTGTATTTTACTAAAAAAATGTTTTCGTTCTATTGCTGATTGTTAACCAACAGGAAATGTAGAATACTTTTAATAACTAAGAGGGAAGAGGGGTATTAGACCGTGGTATAGAAGGTAATATGTAGAGGGTAATTGGTGGTAGGAGGTTAATATATGTCTAGTAAATACAAAATATAAATAAATAAAAATATACTCGAATTTAAAAAAAATGAAAAAAATAGAAAAAGAAACCGGGAAAACGTTAACTGAGGGGAAATTTGACTATAGTCACGGAGCTCTGCTGATACTCACGGGCTTTTATTTATTTACTAGAAAAAACTGGAGTGGTGAATCATTAAAATATTTATCCGTGTACACGAATCGGAAATTTTTAAGAAGAACAAAGATTTGTTTTTGTTTTAATTTCATATGGCTTAAATAACGATGAAAAGAAAAACCGTTTAACTTTAAATTTAAAAAAATTATAATAATAACATAGGAAAATATATTTAAAAATTATATCAATCTTAATCAGCCAATATATTGCCTCTTCATCACCCTTTTAAAAACCAATTGTACCTCCATTATACCTTGTTAGTGGATACTCCTCTACAATGTGTTTGTAATTGTCTGCAGTCACAATATGGTGAGTTTTATTTTCCATTTATGTATAAGGTAGTTGATTTTACCCCATTCCATACGTCTTCTATTTATCGTGATCCACATTACTCTCGGGCAATCAAAGCGTGAAACTTTTTAAATAGGATCGCTTATGAGGTATCTATTTTTTACACTACCTCCTTTCCAAACAATTTTCCACAATCCTCCACTTTGTCAATGCTAATATTATATTCTATAGACCAAATCCGGTGTCTCGATTTTAATCTCTTTTAAAGTTCATTGTTTATAATACTGGGAAACCGTTGAACTATTGGTTTTCTGTAAAAATGTTATAGTTGCGAGATTTCTTCGAATTGCCGGAAGGAAACTCGAAAGGACTGGAAATTACTGGACACGGCCAGTAATAATTCTCATAGTACTATTCAGTTGAGTATCACCCTTCTCTGTGCGTATACTTCTCCCCCATACTAGAGCACAATAATCCACAGAACAAAGTTATGGTTATAATATGACCATAGTGAACCAACATTAACGTACGGGTTCTATATGACATGGATAATAAGTTACTGTCTTTTTAAAATAAAATATTTAGGAAAATATGTAGAGAGATAAATGATAATGAAAGATAATACTGGAAGAATAAACGGTAACTGAAATTTTCAAAATCGAAAAAATTCCAAAAAATTCGAATTATAGAATGGAACATCGGTAACAATATGTTTCAGACACGAGATGCGAAGTAATGAAGCAACGATCGTGAAATCAGCTATGGAATATCGGCCAGCCGGAAGAAGGTCAAAGAAGTAATGGGTTCAAGATTTAAGAATGCTAAGTTTAGGAGACTCAAAGGAAACCATAAACAGGTTATAAAGGAAAATAACATACAGTGTTGGAGGCGGCTAAGACTTTTGGAAAGCCAAGAGAAAGTTTTTGTTTTTTTTCCTTATTAAAACAGATTTTCGTAAGTTATAACATAATATTAACGAATAATATTTAACGATGTTTTTTGGAACGGCACTTTGGATAGACTGTTTATTTAACGGCAACGTCTGTTTTTAAGCGTGTGATAGTCGGTGTGTTTAGATAAAAGAGAAATTTAAACGGGTATATTCTAAGGTGTCAGGGCAATAATACAAATAATCAACTCGTATAAATTAAGTAAACACAAACACCATAGCTTTCGGTTAAAAGTTCACAAAATATGAATTTAACTCAATAACTCTTCAGTTTAAAAGTTAAGATGAATAAAAAAACTAAATATACATATTAGCTGAGACCACCTGAAATTCCCAAAGAATTCTATTGAATGAAAAAAATAGTTGGGAATGGGTAGTCCGGTCACGGTAAACTAAAAGTGTATCCTGGGTAACCCATAAATCAATAAAAATAATTTGATTCTTGTACCGAAAATTCTTAGAAACCGAATTTATTGGTGTTGTTTTAAATAGGGAGTGTATTTCAATAGCTATAAACCTTCTCCAGACAACGCAGACCGTTTTTCTTCTTTAACTCCTTTGCCTATATCCCAACTATTTTTAATAGACAACCCTTGTTCTGAATTTCCACTTGATCTGTTCTCCCACCTCGTATACACCGGCTGTCCTCAAATCATTCTCAATCGCATCAAATCACCTCTTTTTCGGTCTTTATCTTCATTATATTTATAAAATTGTTTAAAAAATATATTATTTTGATATTTTATAAAATTATTAAAAAGTTGAATGTTAAGATAAACGAAATTTTTCGTAGAAATACGAATATATCATGCTATTAATTCGAAGTACAAGTTTTTTTTCTAAATTTCTTATACTTTTTATCTTTCTAATGCTTAAACTTCTTTATGGTCCTTCCTTTGTAAGAGATGTTCAATATTATTTTCTATTTCGTTTTTAATTTTCTGAAACTTTGTTAACAGCTTATATAAACTCCGTGTTGTATCAAAAACAATCGAAGTTAATATGATTAATATATAATAAAAAAGTTTAAATATAATAGTATTATTTACAAATACATATGACAAAAGCCTACTAGCTTAATTAATAATAATAATATTATTTTAACACACTCGATATGTGTTTGATTAATAAATTATTATATCGATAGCTATGCCAACAAACGTGATAATATTAAGCCTAATAATTTATAATATTAGCATAGATTATTAATAGATTTTTGTGCATAGGTATATGTTTACATAAAGGTGCGAGTTTTTGGTGGAAATCGAGGTAGTCAGTACAAAGAAAATCTTGAGATAATGTCAACGATTTATTTATTTTTTCGACGATATAGGACAAAAACATAATAAATTATATAGTCATTTAAATTACAAAAATACCTATGTAATAACTATAGTGGATACTTTGAAATTGAACATTTTGAATTTGTCGCTATTTTCCATTATTTCGTGCAAGGCAATTATTTCCATTATTTCGGAATAGGTATTATATATAATTATCAGTTGTTTTTGTTACAAACCTAATATTAGCGATTATCTTAAAAATAATAAACAAAGTTTTTTAAAAAATTTTCGGGGGACTTGAAACTTAAAACCACCTTCTAGATATGGTCTTATTTCTTGATTCTTTTTATGCAATATAATAATGAAGATGTGGTTTTTAACAGTTGTTACGGGATTAAAATCCGGGCCTTAATGTGTACAAAATATTATGCTTACCTGTAAGTGAATTGGTGTTCCGTTTGCCGTATCTCGATATGTAAAAACCTCTTTCTATTCTAGGCGGTACATTGCCTATCGGTCGGCTTTTCAACAGATCGGAAAAATAAAAATCTTGAAAAAAACAAAAAAAAAAACAAACAATTTTAAGATTGAGATTCGTTAGTTCATTATTAATTATTAGGTACCTACACAGTATAACAAAATTAAATATTATCATAAATTATTGGGCATGCTGTAAATAATATTTGTTTTATAATTTACTTATTAACAAATCAATGTAAAAACTCAAAAAACCAAATACCCGTTAGCAGCAGTGCTTTGTCACTAGAGTCGAATTTCTCCCCGCTTAATAATTTGTTTACGTATAATGGAAATATTCATTGTGTAACACAATAAATAATAATACAATAATACTAAATTGTACTTAATAAAAAAAATGGTAAGTTTATGCATAAAAATGTTCAGGGTGTATACAGAATTACATACACCTGGCCTCATTGAGGGAGGAGGAGTTCTGTAAAGTACTTCATAACTAAAAAAAAGGATATAGTCAATTTACACCAAAATTGATCATAAATATATACAACATGTGTAATTTGCACCAACATTTTTTAACCTTCTATCAGTCGCAAGTGGTAAATAAAAAATTCAGAAAAAAAAACAATTTTTTTTCTGTATAATTATAATACCTGTATTTATATAATATGTATCTAAAATAAACAAAATAATTTAAAAAAATCTAAAAATCACAATTTTGTATTAAAAATAGCTAAATGTACTAAAGATAATATAATAGGTAACTATAAAAAAAAAATAAGTTTTGAATAATTTTTACCCCACGCGACCAAATATGAAAAATAAACCACGCGGCCGGTAGAAGGTTAACTACACTTGTAATTTGCACCAAAATAAAGATATGTACTCGTAATTTACAACATCTCAGGTAGTAAAAAAAAAGGAATTGTAATTTGCATCAAAATTCTAATCGATTATCTTTCTAATAATGCAATAATTATGTTTTATAAAATCAGCTCTATAAAACAAGTGTATATAAATTCATTCTTTAAAAACAGAATGTTGTCAGTATAAACTTATCATAAGGAAAACAATAATTTTAGGATTTTTAAAAATAGTAGTTATTGGCCTGCTAAAATTATCTTTTATACCACTGTGGTTCAATCAAACAGGCACTTGACAATCAGATATGTAGATAGGTACTCATTTTGGTGCGAAATTCAAACTCCCAAAAAAACACCCGACTCCCGCAACAACATGATGAAAATCATATGAAAATTTAACACGACTTTTATCACTTCAATAAAACAACTCTAATTCCCGAGTTTGAGTTCAATTGGTCTATATGGAGCTGCTAGAAGTGTCCAAAAATAGGGGGAAATAGATATTTATGTTATACATATAAAAAGAGACAAAATACAGTATAATATTATATATCATAATAGTATAGTATAAATTTGCGAGAAAAATTCGACAAAAAAAAAACGTTTCAAAAAAAAAATTATCATTATACTGTTTTATAGTAGGTATAGTGTACACGTATTACTTATTTTATAATAAGGTCAAATTGATATTTCGGTTAGAAAACCGGAATTTCGACGGTCAACGCAAAATAATATAATAATTTAACTACTGACACTGTGACAAGTCCTTCCCCCCCCCCCCCGAACCTGATAGAAACGACGGAAAACAAAACTGAAAATTATTTTTATTCAGATACAAAATACGCGAACTGCATGGTATTTTTTTTTTATTTTGACCCGTTTATCCGGTATTATTGCAATATATAAGACGCGTTTATTATTCATGTAAACATTTTTATATTATAGCTAAGGAAACGATGACGCACTACCTATATCCTCAATAATATATTAAACATCGGTTAACCATCCGAGTGAACCAATCAGTTTCCGTCCACTCGACTGAAGAGCAAAAGGAGCCTTAATAATATAATATTGTATCGTCCGCCCGAGTCAGGAAATCCTCATAAAACTGAATAATTAATCAGCGTTACAACGATTTTAGCCATGCAATAACGTGGATTAATTTTAATGATCCGCTCCCTGTTCCCTTAAAAAAATCTCCACTAGCTGGTAGACCAAACTTTCATCTCAACTGTTGAATCTTCCTCTGTTACCCCTGCCTTCCAGTATAATAATTTGTTACAGTATCTACTTCCATCTAATTCAATGATTTAACATTTATTTTTTAGTGAAAAATAGAAATAGAAATAGAAAATCTCACTAGATGCCACGTAAACTTTACCATGTGTTCGTTTGGACACGAAAAATCTCTTTAAAAAATTCCCTACGATAACGAACCAAATTATTATTGCCGAAATTTCTTAAAAGTCAATCCACTAAAAAATGTAAATTTGTGTACATCGGATTCGTTTTCAATTCGCCGCGTCAGATTTGTTAATGCTATCAAAATCCGAAGTATTATTTAGTCAATTATATTATTATACAAAGACCAGCGATGGAATCGTTATCATCGCTCGTCTTTAAAATTTGATTAGTGTCATACATAGCTTTGTTATTCGGCTGTTTTGCGGAACTAGAATTACGGCGCAAACGATTCGATGTAGGGATTACCGATGAATAGCTAAGCTCGTTGTCAATAAATAAATGTCTACGTCATCGTAATGGAAAACGTCCATTTTCCACCGCTGTGTCCCCCCCTCCACCATAGGAATTTTGCAAGGTGTCAGTGGAATACTTATGATTTTGTCAAGGAGATAAGTATCAAATTTGGAAATTATGCCACATTGTAAACGCGTGTACACAGACTAAAAAAGCTGTCCTAGGATAATGGGGACAAGTGCAGCTACTGTAATAGGTAATTTAATATATATCTGTAAGCAACGATTAGCCATTGCTAACGAAAAAATGAGCGGGGTTCGGTTGCTTTGTCAACAATTTACATGTCATAATATTGTAAAATAATTACATATTATGCATTATATATTTTCTTTAAACATATTTGTTTAATAATTTTCCGGTTTGTTCTACATTTCTCGCAGTTTTCCCATGTTTTTCTCGGTTTTCCCATTTATTTGGAAAATAAAAAAAATTATCTCTTTAAAGGGGTTACCCCAGTCATATTTACTTTCAAAAAAAGTGCTATCATAGTACATTGAAGCGAAATTGCTGGTAGAAAAGTTGTTCACAGAAAAAAAAATATCAATATATTCCTCGCTCCGTTCAGAGTCTAAGAATAGATCAATATTTAATAATTTATATTAAACTTTTGTAGATAATTTATCTGCCCTTAAATTATCATTGAAATCAAATAAATAACTATTGGTAATAATTATAAATATATTCTTTATTTACTATGTAGGTATCTACTAATCTCAACCTCTTTACCTTTTTATGTTTAATATAATTATTATGTTTTTAAACGTTATTTTAATTTTACATTATTTAACGTTTAAAATAAATTTTAAATTATTTAATTTTTTTCCAAATAAATTTTATTGTCATTTTTTATTTAACCTATGGTGAAAAAAAAAAATAAAACGTGCTTTTATCATAAACATCGAACAATTATTACTAATTACTAATTACTGTTGCAATTTGTCTTATTTAGTTTAAAAGTGTAGTAAATAATAACTAATAATGTATACGAGTATAAAAAAATATTTATGATAAGACGTCATAATTGTAATTACAACTAAAACTGTATGGGTTATATTACTTTTAAAGTTTTAATTTGAATCTATAACTTTAATGTGTAATGTTAAGTGCATTACAATTTTATAAATTCTTTGTTGAACAGGTTTTATTTAAAAAAAATAATGTACCTATTCAAATTGTATGGGCACGAGACAATAGATACAATTTTATTATCATAGTGTATAGAAATTATTTCTATTTATTTCAATAAATATTTTGGAAAACATAATTTGTAGTTAAGGCAGGTTAGCTAACTTTGAGTTGTTAATATCTATAAAGTATACGGTTTAACGTAAACATCACAGAGCATATTATTTCGAATAACGTTATTTTCAATTATTTTTTCTGTTAACAGTTACGTTTATTGTTAATCATTAATTACGATACTTGTATATTATGTTTAAAGGTATTCAATTTTCTGTTTTTCATTTATTTTCTGTATATCGATTTTGTCAATTTTTTTCCCCCTGTTGTGTTTGCGCAAATATCAATAATTTAATTACCAACTATTTAATCAATAAATAAAAAAAAAAAATCCATTTACTTGATAAACGATCATCGTGCCTTTTACCGAAACGACCACCTGTTTGAAAAAATTTATCTGAAGCTGTCGTGTTGTCCGGTATTATCATCAAAAATATTGATCCAAGGATGCACAAAACTACCGTCGTTTGGCTCATCGTCATTTTATCAACGTTACTGAATACTCCTAGAAAAAAAAAACAAAAGCGTAAATGTCAGATTTTATTTGACCAAGCATTTTTCCGTCAGTAATTTAAATTATATTTAATTCTTCATATACCAAAGTGGTATCTTATTTTACTTTAAACCTTATTTGTCATCAAACTCAATTATATTTATTTTATAAATTTTTTATACAAGAAAAATTATCCGCAGATTATGAGATAACTTCAGATATTCAGACTATTTAATATCAAGTTATTTTTAATACTCCGTAATGTATTCTAATTCAATTTACGATGAATTATTTGATTTTCGATGACAATAATCGGTCGATAGAAACATAATTTGTTCTTAATTAAACATATTACAACAGAGTTAGGCAAGGATTAACAATAATAATAAATTACTATATCTCACGGTTTTAAGATGGAGATAGTAGATGCGGGTGTGTCCTATAATAGAAAATTAGAAAAAGTTAATCGTACCTCCATCGTTTTCACCTCTATTTCTACATCAGTTTAATACAACGATTATTATTTTTATTTTTTATTTTTTTTATAAATGTTTAAAGTTCAATTTTTCCTATAAAACTCGTTAAAAAAATAATTAAACAACTATTGTGAATTGAAAAAATATTTAAATTCCTAAAAAACAACGTATCGGTAGATACACTTTTTCATTTATTTTTGCGAATCAGATTGTATAATTTGGTAGATATACCTAGGTACCTATTTACTACATTATACAGTTTGGTTATTCGCGTCACATTATTATTAATTTCATGTCGGTTGGTGGGTTTAATTTTGTTCAAAAGGACAGGTGCATATTATTATTATTTACATATTATACTATTCTGCACAAGTATACCTATAATACTTTGACTATATTACCATATACGAGCATATCAGAGGTATTGCAGTAGTCAAAACATATATCTATGAAAAATAATTAATAATTCGTGAACGGCATAAATTTGAATAGTGTAATTAGATACAAATTTTCGATAAAATAACTGGACGGGTGCTTAGAATAACCGTGTCTTTGTTTCAAAGACAATATTCTGTTTTGCATGTCGACGACGCGCGACGAGCCGATAAGATGACACGCATTCTTCCATATTATTATACATATACGAGTATGTTTTTAATGAATCTATCAAACTAATATACATAAACATAAATTTAAATATATTTTGTATTATAATACGCTGTGTATCGTGTGCTACGACCCAAACGTCTTAAGATGAAATATTGTATCTTTTATCTGGTAACGCGATGCAGTTCTAAAAAGTATAGAGTGTACTGCGAATACTGGAATCAATATTTGGATATCTAGTACCGAGTAGATATTCATTTTGAAGTATCATGTCCATTCTTGCTAATATATTTTTTATGTACTATGCTCGAATAGAGTGGTGATTATGGTAGAGGATATGTAGATTTAAAAAAAAACAAGAAATATGCAAGCACTTATGTACTTAAAAACCATAAAATATGCACTCAATTTTTTTCTAGGGATCTAATTAAAAAATATTAGTTATATTAAAAAACATCTAAAATAAGATTAACAATTACCTACATATATCTAATGACATACCATGATCAAATTAATAAAAATAACTTTTTGTCTAATTGAAACTTTTATTTTAATTTTTTATTGATTAAATTAAGTAGACATTGATTGACTGATGAATTTGATTGATTTTTAAATACTTTATAAATTTCTCCTTCCGACACTAAAAAATAACATTTTTTGTATATTAATAATATGGTTTTAACTAGGGTTGGTAATATGTAAGCGTACATTTTTATACATTACACGTATAATACCCCATGTATAAAACGTACACAACTTTATAACGACTAAGACATTATTTTTTTTTAAAGTTTATTATAATATTGATAATACTTTAAATTTTAAATTTTAATAAGTATTTAAACTTATTAACTAATGTAACAAATTAACAAATCACATCAATTTGGTGAATTTTCTTAAATTTAGAATAAAAAAAAAACAAAACGAATTTATATTTTGTTATTTTAAATATTGGTGTAGTTATTAATAAAGAATAAATATAAGCTTAGTAATTAATATAAAAAATTATCATATACAATTTAGGTAATTAATACAAGATGCGTACAATTATGATTAAATTAAATTAACAATTATGTTACCTGATAATTTCTGTTCAGTTGCAGCCAAAAAAAAAAATGTGTATATTGTGTAATACATGTCTTTACTGTATTATACGTTCCAACTCTGGTTTTGACTATTGTTTTATTTTAAGAAATTGTGAAAAAAAAGCCTACAAAAACATAAAAATAAATCTAAAAAAAGTCTTAATAACCTAAATATCTAAATATGCAAAAATATGCAATGTAAAATAATACATTTGGCTTTATTGTAAAATAAAACAAATTTCTTTCAAACTGGCCTTTTTTTACGACTGCAAAATTAATATACAAATGCTATAAGTTCTCTGCCCTAATAATAATATTAGTAACGCCTACTTAAATACAATCGACATATAACTAATATACTATTAATAAGTCATCGCCTTTACAACAACAGAACGAAATGAAGAAATTTTGTTCTACGATTTGTTTTTATTAGACTCTTTGTTACACTGTTAAATCACAAAAATTATAACTCCATTTATGTCGAAATCTTATAACAACATAACGTATCTCAGCCAATAACACATTTCAAAAGGCATGCCTTATGAAGAAAAAATTAATTATTAGTGCGAAATATACGATAAAACATTACCAGCATTTAACTAGATAAAATTAAAGAATTTAAATACCGTTTTTTTATCAACTGTAATAAAACTGAGATGCGTAATATTCAGGTATGTTTACAAAAATATATTTCAGGGGGGGGTGGGGTTTAGGGTTGTACACTTTCATATTCTCATAACAAAAGTTTACATGCAATCAATTGTAGGATTATCTATTTTTCATTGAAAAAGTCAATATTTTATAACATTCATTTTTAGCTTTTTAAATACCTACTATCTAGTAATAAAATTAAAAATAAATAAAAAAAAAAAAAAAATTATTTACTTTCATTATAATTTTTATGATATTTCGGAGTGGATAGTTTGAACCCCTAACCTTCCCCCTTGTACACACTTGGAAATTTTTCAGTATTATAAGAAATACCGTGTACTTCAAAAAGACTCCTAGAAAAGGGTGTATATCAGGTATCGTCATAATTATATAATACAGAACGTTGGCTATAGTTAATCGTACGGTTCTCCAATATCAACCAGTACATACTTACGCCGATTTTAATACCGAAATACTATTTCATCGGAAACCGTGAAATTCTAGACGAAAATTCTATGCTCCACATAAGTTATAAGCCCAAAGGTTAGTCCGTTCATCCAAATGTCTCATAATTGTGATTACGACTGTTAATTTGTATTTAACGTACAATGTACGTAGGATAATATTATTATTTTTTTGAATTCTGTTTCAAAAATTACAATTTATAAAAAAAATCCAAAAAAAGTTGATACCGACTAGAATTGGATGTGTAATATTGCAATTGTTGTAGGTGGGAAGTCGGGAAGGTAGAACAAAATCTAAAATAATACAATTGTTCACGCCGTATATTTTTTGTCAGTTTTTCTTTAACGTTTTGTTTCCTGTGTTTTCCAATTATCATGAAAAGCTCTTTGGAAAATCAAAAAAAAACGGCCACCTTAATATACAAACTACATATAAACAAAATATCATTTTTTATTGAAGTCAAATTTCTGGTATATAAGTTGTTCAAAGACAAAAAAAAAATGAATGCTATATGTATTGTTGAATTTAAAATTAGATATTAATATAACAATATTTATCGGTTGCGGATTTATAATTCAATTATTTTAATCATATATACTATATACGTATTACTGATATAGAATTTTACTATTTTTTTTTTTTTTTTACGATGTGCCTAAACACGGCATTTCAAAATAATCAATTAATCAAACATCATTCGGAATCGTTTTTCGTTAACAATGATTGTATAATAGACAGATATTAATCAAATAATACTAAACCACCTAAAACACACATCATAGTAAAACTAAAAGAACTCAGCTCGAAGCCTTAAAAACACAATTTACCAAATATTTTGTTATTTTAAGAGGATTATGGTACACATCTTGATTATCAACGGGTTACGTTTCATAAGACAATTTTAACGATTTTTTCGATAATGCATAAACTCAAAAATATTCAATTCACTGTTAAATAACTTCAATAGTGACAGTCTCGTATCGCTATCGCAAGTATTTATTGTGTAATCGTGAAATTTGAAATAATTGTAAAACACACAGAATTATATTAGACAATCGAAATAATTTATACGTAGTTACAATTTTGAAAAAAAAAAAACATTATCCGTGACGAAACGTTTTTTATTATTATTATTAAATTTCATAATTTTATAAGTGTCTATTAAAAAAAAAAAAAAAACACCTAAACTCGCGGATTTTTTTTTTTTTTTTTTTTAATAAATGCCTATAAACAATATTATCTTCTATATGTCTATGCAAAAACGGTATAAATGCCTATACGGAAAGATCGTTTGTTTTTTATATTATCTAGCCGTTCGTTTATAACGTGCGTAAAACTCGTTTTTAGTGTCAATACGTGTTTTATTACGAGGTTTTTTATCGTCCGATACACACAATATACATTATAATCGTTGTGCAGTCTAAAAGAACAATATTATATTAATTTCAAAACGAAAACGATTCGCGCGTCCTTTTTAATCTACACCCCAATGGCCAGAATTATGTTATATATTATTATTATTATTATTATTATTATTATTATGTTTATCATGTACGAGCGGACCGGATTGTCGCCGAAATCGCGGGACGGGCCTCGGCTTTATCGACTGTCGGCGAAACATACACACATTGCACAGCGATTCAGCACTTAGGGACTTAGCGAGAGACTTATTATGTATCGCAATATAATATTATTATAATATTATATATATACAGCCGACCGATTGACCCGTCGGCCGTCACACAACAATTCGCTAAACTGAAATCCCGTATATATATATATATATATCCGCCACCGAGCCGTAAACCAATAAAACGGAAACGGAAAAAAAAAAAAAATGCGAAACAAAACGTATTCCAAGGAAAAACGGAAAATCGATCGAAAAAGCCCTGCTCGCATTAAAATTTACTCCATAATAATATATAATATAGCGCACGCGGTTCCTGTAAACGTAATAATTCAAAAAAAAAAAAAAAATGAATTTTAAAAAACGCTGTCGCCGATGACGAGCGACTATTTTAGAAGGAAATTTGAAAGGAGGGATTTAATTTGTACACAACGACAAATCGTCACTAACGAAAAACGATTCTAAGCGCTAATGGTATCGGTCGTATTTGTGCTCTTTTTGTCAATAAATGTCAATAAATAATGACCCAGAAATCAATTGTACAAATGGGTGTATGTATTTTTTTTTCTGCAATCAATAAGATTTAGATCAAATACTTACGAGTTATGTTAGCGTTTTCGAAACGTAGTGTTATTTTTTTTCCGATCACGTAACAATGTTTTGAAATAAGGAAAAATTAAATAAAAGCTAAGCATAATTTCAAAATTACCTTTATCAATAATATAATGTTCCATATGAATAAATAAATAGCGTTTGAATATTAAATTTATACAAAATTCGTAACGATTATAATTTTATTTTGTAACTGAAAATGAATTCAATTTTTAAATTTAAAACGAGTTAAATACATTCAGGATCGTAGATCTGGCAAATGTAGCCAGAGAAATGAAATATTCTGTGTGCATGGCGTTATAGTGTCATAGATGTGGCCCTTTAGAGATTTCCCTACCGTTGTTATGGCCAAATTTCATCATTTTTTTTTTTTTTTTTGGAAATCCGAAGATACATAATAAAATTGTAGTATAACATAATATTATATTAAAACTATATAATATTCGCTTACTTATAATATAACAATTATAGTATACGCTATTGAATTTAACGCAATTTTAAAAATTCAATATCACGCCCTTCTTAGCGCGAAATTGTAAATACGCCAGCGAAAGTCGGTATTAAATATTAAGCGTCTTTCTGCGAGCTAGCAAAAAATGATCGTTAAATTTAATATTTTTCGACTCGTGTTTGTTTAATGAAGTCACAGAAATAATACCTACTGCAAAAAATCACGTAGATATTACAGAATTAAGCTGTTTATTTTAAAACGATTTAACTTGATATTATTGTACAAATCACATGAATGTATATTATCTGCACCCGGTAGCCAGTAGTATTACGCGATATTTGAAGCAAAGCTGCAAATATACGAGTATTAAACGAATCATATTCATTAAAATATTATTTGTAGAAATACTAAAAAAAAAAATCGTTTTTAATTCCCGTTTTCCTTACTATATGTTCTTTTGAAAATATTTAATAATGCGATGAAATGTCATGGAAATGTATTGGTAAATCCAGCTGGATAACTAAGGGAGCGTCAAGGAGCTTTAACCTCCCCAATTGATAGTGTTTTAATAAAAACTACATTCAACGGTAAAAACGTATTTTTAATAAATTAATAACCTTTGAATATTTGCAGTACTATACTATAACTCAACTATAGGCAAAAACAATTTTGTTTATTACACAAGCATAATATTGTGTTTACAATACAAAATTAATTCGAAAAAAATGCCTTATATACTTGATTTAGACATATTCGACTACAGCGTTATTACATGATATCATTTTCATTTACTATGATTAGCCCTATACATAGGGCTAACCCTATATTCGCGGGATTGAAATATCCCGGCTACGGCCACTAGGGAAATCTATTTTGTAATATTTCGTGACTTATTTTTCGGCTTAGATATTAATTTTCATTTGTGATCACAAACACCTATTAATTTTCTGTTGATTACAGGCATATAATATTGACTAACAAGGTAATATAATTTGTATAGATTCGTACGACAAAATAGAATTTAATAGAACCTTAAATATATTGTGGATACCTATAATTCTATTTCATTTCATAGTAATTAATTATAATATATCCAAAAATGCTCACTAACATGATAGTTATAATATACTAGTTACTTGTACTTAATTGTACTTTATTATATACATATTAATACAAATAACCCATCGAATATATTGTTAAAAACATTAAAGTTTTACTCTTATAATAAGTTTTACGTATAAAAAGTTTTTGGATTAAAAGACGGGGTTTCTGCCGAATATCATAATTAATAATCTTTTTATTTATAAGTTATAACACTCGGAAACGGTGCAAACAGTTTACTTAACAACTCGTATAGGTACCTAAACACTTTTACCTTTTGTTTTAGTTTATATTTTATTAAGAACGTATTATTTTTAACAACTACGGTAAATTAATATATTAAGTGTTTACTGAAAATCAACAAACATTACAAAGATCAACACAATAATATGATGATAATATTAGGTACCTATATATATTCACTTGTATGAAGTTTATTCCCGTAAAAATTATATATGTTGAGCCACGGCAATCTTTGGAAGATGTGAGTTATTTTCAAAAATAAAAAAATATTTTAATGTAACAGCCCGTTTAAAAATTGAAATCATAAATTCGCATGTCCAGTATTTAAGTTAAGGTTTGTTAATAGACTAATACAAAATTTAATTGAAATTGAAAATATATAAAACCACACTTGTCTTTCAAACGAATTTAAGAGTAGTCTTACATAGTAGAAAATTTTATTATTACCTTTCAATGTGATATTTTAGAGATAAAATAGATGGAAAATAACGTTTCCCATCCTCGTATCTCAGTTTAATATCATGGATGCAAAAATGCATTTATTTTTCTTGTAACTTTTTCAAATCTTTGTAACCATTATTTGGCGGTTTTTCTTTCGAAGAAGGTTGTAAACATTTTTTTATAATGTATAAGGTAAATCTTTTTAGAAAAACTTTTATTGCTGAAAAAATGGATTTCTGAGAAAATAAAATAATTTCCTACCTCTACTCCGGAAACAAAAGAATTTTTCATGAATCTGCAATACGTGTTCCGTTTTATTATAATACATCTTTGATTCCAAGGAAGAAAGGAATAAATCATTTGTTTATAGTTTTTAATACAAGCAAATTAAATGTTGAATATTGCTAAATGGCTGAACTGCTATATAAATATGACTTACGCCGTTTTTCCAAACAAAAAGTACATCATAACGACTTCAGATATTTTGATTTCCAGTATAATATATACGAAATTATAAAACACACTATAAAAAAAAAATTTACTTAAACTCTTCCATACCTAGAACCGAAAATTTAATGTGACGTTGTCGTCCAGTAATGCATCAAAAGCTCATTTAAGGGAAAATCGATTGTAGGTGTTTAAAGGCCGTTATTAATATCAGATTTTGTGCTAGTACAAAAATTGTTTAATTCTATACATACCTACTCATTTTTTTTTTTCTTACGTTTAAACGTACACCTCTGAATGCATCCTCCCACAATTATGGCCTTGTATATACCTATATATATATATATATATATATATTGTATTTAATTCAACTAAAAATATATTTAAAAAAGGCCAGGGGTTGATGTAACCATTGCCACGCCACCGTTCTTCCTCCCCCTTCCAAAAAAAAAAAAACAATCCGCAACTGTTATCGATAGATACCTGCTATACTTACATACAAGAAAAGAAACGTATAACATTTTCGTATATAAGAACTAAAATCGAAAACTAATTTATTTTTCCATTATTCGCATACCTATTCCAGTAGTACAATATAATATATACACATATATATATATATATATATATATAATTACAAAACGCCTACGTAATTCCCCGCGAATTTAAATATGGTATACAAGTTTTGTTCGGTATTGTTTAATCATGCCTACTTTTAGTTTAAGAGTGAGTGTAAGTTATTCTAATGCGAAATAAAATTAAACAAATTCTATACATAAATAATGCGTACCTATATACCCATAATTGGATTCCTATCCGCAATCTGTATTCGAGAACATAATTTTTACGAAAACCTTTAAATGTTTTACAAATCTATCTACTTAAAAATAATCAATAGGGGTAAGTTGGTACATTGGTATCGTAGTAGTATAGGTATTAGTCGAAAACGGCAAAAACATTGAAAAATATTGAAATTAAAAAAAAAAAATTTATTCGGTTAACCGTGAAATTCGAAATCGTTAAAATATTAAAAATAATCACGAACAAATACTATACCTGTGTATACATATTTGACCGTAAATAATGTTTTTTTTTTTTTTTACCACTGTAATATTAATGTTATATGTATATGTTACAAGCAAAGTTGGAAATCCCGATGATTTTGGAAAATGTAAGAATAATTTTTTTAGCACTCCAATTGTTCCTACATCGGATCGGACATCGAGAGTGCTCGAACAAAGTGTACCCTGTCCGGAAAACGCAAAGTTCGATTATACGAATACATGTTAATAATTAAGATTTTATCAAAAATTTAATTTTAATTCACAAAAAAAAAATACTACATTACACTCAATTTTTATTTTTATTTGGCTACTAAATACAACTTATAATGAACCTCCAATCAAATTTTCAAGCTTTTTCGTTAATTCTAACAGTTTTATCCACAGAGTACCTACCGAATAAAAATTTGCAAATTAAATATATCTATAAATCAATCAAGAATAGCTTAAATGTTTTGAACATTTTACAATGTCTAGAAAAAGCTAATTCATCTCTCCGAATATTTTTAACTGAATTACAATAAAAACAGGACGGACATAATTCGTACGATGAGTGGGCCACTGTTGTAGCTGATAATTTTAGAAGGTATAGAGGGGACATTTAATGTATATCTGTACACAACGATTAACTCTAATGTGCCAATTGTACACAATTTCCTTTCAGAAAAGATACTACACTTGATACACCGGAGCAAGATATCTGGTAGACAAGTTGTTTATAGACAGAAAAAAAAAACGTAGTATAAACATTAATTCCCTCTGCTATGTTCTGAATTTAAAATTATTTAAAATCTTTTATACAAATTAAGATAAATTATGATTTTCTTAAATAATATTTAAACAAACTTCAGTTTCAAAGTAATCAAACACACACGAGTATTGAGATTGTTTAGAATATACCTTCTAATGAAACAAAACTATTTTATTTTTTTTTTTTTTTAATATTATTATATATTATAATTTTAACTGATTTTTGGAAATAATGGCCGTGCGGGCTGTCACAACGACGTATAGGTAATTATTTTTTATTTCCCGGAACGTAACAAAATCGTCCATTTAAGTTAAAAAGCAAAATAAATCGACGGACGATATTTAAAAAAAAAAATTTAAAAAAAACTGCCAATACCCGTTGTTGTTCGGTTCGTATACAGAAAGTTTTGTTTTACCATAAACAATCGGTCCAATCCAATTTAATCTAATCAATCTATATGATTGCTGAATGTAATGTATGGATTGTAATATAAATTGATTTCAACCCCAGCGGATAATTCTTTAAGGTTTTTTTTTTTCTTTCTTTTTTTTTTTTTGATATTTCATTAGACCCCTCTTCTTGAGAAATATTGACACATCTTTATATGTATTAATATTTATCCACTACATCGTATTTAATAGTTATATCTTATAAGATATTCGGTGATATTAAATAAGTGAATGGTTTATACGATAGTTTTGTATTGAATATTATTACCAAATTTGATAAAAAAAAAAAAGACAATAATTACAAAAAATGCATAAAGTGTAAATGTTAATAGAAAAAAAAGCGATTGTGGATAATGACACATTCATAACAGTCAAATGGCGTAATTAGAACTTCTAATGCCAATGGTAAAATATTCTAAATTGACCAAATTCCCAATTTGAGTTGGAATCCACAGACTAAATACCTTGGACCCAGATTTGGGGCTCCAAAATAATATGGGCCCATGACTCATTGTCCGTCATGCCACCCTATCGGTACGCCATTGACTCATAATCCCCTGGTGAGCACTTCCCGGCGGAATCAGTTAGGATAAATACAATATAATCAATTACTACAATTCAGTATTTGGTTATCTCTGCTGTGAACAGAACAATAATTGTGTTTATAACACTATACACGAGTACCTATAAGAAATATTCAAGTTTCGTTGGTAAATTTATCAATAAAATATTTAATGTGCCCGGACTCTCGAATAAATAGGCATCGAAATAATATAATACATTTATGCACTTAAAATCCGCAAAAAGCGTACAAATCGTCAAAAATATTTAAAAAACGAAAGTAGAGGCATCTTATAGTTCTTTCTTTAACGGTTTGAATCCTATTAAATACAATTTTCTAACACTGACAAATGATGAACAAAAATATTTTTTTTTTTTAATAACACATTTATTTGAACAAAATTTCTTTATAATAGACATTTTTGTAGTTTAGCAATTATTTTTAATAAGTTAGAATCATTAGAGAGGGGGTACTTTTAAACCACTCTACCATTGCTCTTTTAAATATTTTGTAATTTATCTTTTAGGGCACTTTTTCAACGTTTTTAAGCTCTCCTTGTGGACTTTAAGTGCATAAACATTCTAACTCAAATTATGTTTAACAACGTCGAAAAAATACATATAAGACAAAACGATTAAGTATTACATTTTAAAAATCCTAAATATAAATTTATCTCATAATGGTTTTCCAATCGCGAAAATAAAAAACCCCTACCGATGTCTCTACATCTCTACAATTTTTTGTTTCATTATGTGATATTATTTCCTTTTAGCGTTTTAATTTTATATACAATGGTTGTTGTTTTTCTTTTTTTATTATTATTCAAATTCAAAAACTGCGATACGAAAAATATCTCTGTAACTAATATAGATACTAATCGAAATAATAATATCAGCTATAAAAAAAAAAAAAATTTCTAATACTGTTTTTCACGATAACTCTAATTATAAATTACTTCGTGGATTTAAATAAAGACAATTCAAGACACACACCTATCTGAATATACGCCTATTTATTATTGAAAAAGTGGTTTTACCGCTATTTTATAACAATTTATTAAAAGGGTATTAAACATTTTTTTAATTTTTTTAGGGACTGTTCAATTGCCCGTAAGTAGGCTATAAAATTATAATCTCCTCCTCCCGTGCTATGCGATCGACTAAAAATAGTGTCGTATAATAATAAAACCAGTTATCTAATTAACCAATATTGTGCGAGCGTCTATTGCAAGCATAAATCAGCGTGGAACGCAAAATACAAATTTTGTTTCGTCGAGCGGACGTTGTGCGATCCGTTTCACAGATTTTATTTGAAATCTCAAATTTTCATTTTTTGATATTTAATAATATTTGGTTAATAACACACCTACCAGACCGCCTTTATGTTTTTAGGTTGATTAAGGCCAATTTATTCGACACTCTTATATGTTATGAAATACCACGCATACACAGTTAATCATATTAACCCTATACATTTCTCATAAATATGTTAAATAGATTATTCTCTATACGTTCTAAACAAAATAAAATATCATCACCATCAAAGAAATAGTATATTCATTACATATTCCTAATAATTATCCTTGAAATTAAATTACAAACCAAAATGTATTTATTTATAATATTTCACTATACTGTGTAGTAATAATTTTCAGTATTTTGGAATAATGGAATAGTAAATTTTTGTCAGACAAACACAAATAAACCCGAAATAAAAAATAATATAGGTAAAACAAAAACCGGAGTTTGTTTATTTTTTTCGGATTTCCTCCCTAAAAATGTGTTACCCGATCAAGTGCGGATCAAGATGAAGCAAGTCTTATTCTGGTCAAAATCTCATTTACAGGCAGGAAAAAAACCGCTTCACAGGATATAAAATAGTTAAGAGAACGTCATACCCGCAGCTACAGTCCGGGGGAATATTTTCGATTAGCTTTTATCTAAATAATTGTTATTCAAAAAGTATATTAATTTTCTTTTGTTTTTTTTTTTGGTGTTTTATAGCTGTAACTTTTTTTTATGGCAAAGGTTTTTAGCAAAAAGCTGCATACAGATCTTGAAAATATTCTCATGTTTAAGTTGTGTTATTTATGTTTGAACTCCAGTTTGAAACTAAATGCTCCTCTTAATAACTTTTATAATATATTAACTATTATTATACCTTGTTCTCAATAATTCAGTATATTTTTTATATTTCTCAATGCACACACACACCACTGTATATTGTTTAATATGTACATTCATAATACTCTTAATAATAATGTGTAAGTAGACAAAAATGGGATCTCGCCCACCGGTGTTTAATGTTTGTTCCCGTTAATAATAACTTGATAACTTAATAGTTTATACATAAGTGTCTGATTTTTGATCGCAAACTAACACTGCGTATTATCCTGTTTTATTCGGTACATATTTTATTTATTGTTACACTATGTTTACTGCATTTCTGCATCTGTTTAAACAGTTTATCAAAATTGAAAACTTTCTATTTTCACGTAGCCAAATATTGTTATAATTTGAAATTTAGATAAAAAAAATGTATCCGTACATTATATTATATAAACTTTTTGGAAAGGGAGAGGGGTTTTTGTTTAAAACATTTACGTTTCTAGACATTACACCTGCTTCTATATTATTACGCTATATACGTAAACTTTATGAAATCGTTTATTACGAAAAATCAAATATTATCCTAAACGGTTAAAAGTAGAATGTTATATGTATAGGAATGTGTAGAATGTATAGGTATGTCTCACAAAACCGATTATAATAATACAATATTTCTATAGTTCCTCTCCGCAAATAAGATTCCTAAACCTTCGTAAATAATTTATCTTTGTGGGGCTTGGAATTCGGTAATAAATGATTCAAGTCATAAGCTAGGTGCCTAACATGATTCACTAATATTAATAAGAGGGTTGTCCAGTTTCCGGTTAAAATTTCTTTTTGATTATTGGTACCTTTATACCCCCCAAAACTAAAAGGATTATTATAATCAGAGGTCGTCCGCAATTTTCAGCAGGTACCTACCTATAAACAATTATTACGCTTGAAATAATAATACTATAGTTTGCGAACATTTCATTTAATATAAACTGCTGTCGGTTTCACCGTCAACAAGTAAAACAATTATTCACATATCTAAATTTCCAGCCAAAATTGTGTATTTCGAACATTTTAACATTTTACTTTATTGATCGGTGAAAAACTGATTGCAAAATGTATTTACAAGAATCTTATAACTTATATAATATAAAAAATATTTATTTGTATATTTTTATCGAATCTGACTTTGTTGTGATCAACAGGAATGCAAGTCAAACATAGAATATCAATTCAATTCGAGACGGTTCAGTATTTTGAAGAGGTTGCGTATAGGCAATTCTAACGGCATTTCGTTAACAGAGTTTTTTAAAATTTGTACCACATCTAAAAAATACCAATATAAGCATATATCAGATTTCAACGTTTATTATTAATTGAATTACAAAACAAAAAAAATAAAATTGAAATAATGGATTTGTTATTTCCGTAAATATTTCTATTTTTCCTACGCTCTTTCCCGATTATAAATAAAACTACATGAATATTAAAAAAACTATTTTCATAAACAGTAACTAGACAAAATCTACAGAAAAGTTACTTGCAGACAGATAAATAAAATTAAAAAAACACATTATAATGAAACCAACTCGTTCCGTTCAGAATCTAAAAAAAAGAAAAATGCGTACACTGTTGATACGTGTACCACGGTTTTAGATGGAAATCAGGAAAGTACAATACATAAAGTTATTTAATTAATATCTGTACGCAACGATAAATCATTGTTGACGAAATAAGATTCTGAACGAAGTTCGGTTGAAATGCCGTAAATTTCAATCGCCGTAAGTTTATCCGTTTTGTTCTAAACGTTTTTCTCCGGTTTTTCCCGATTATTATGAAAACTGTTTGGTAAATCAAAAAAATATTTATCTCTATAATACATCAACTAAATCAAACCGTGTATTAAAAATTTATCTTGTTGTTTCTTGTTTGAAGCAAGTTGTTAACAAGAAAGGAAAAAACACACACGTCATAGTAAATCTAATACACTCTCGCATCACTCGAGTTCTAAAAAAAACTGCAAATATTGTTCTTAAACGTGTTAATTTAAACATCACATACTTCGAAAAAGCAGAACAATTATCAGGTACTGGGTATTATTATTGTAACTTTTGTCGAGAAGTGATCGACGGAAAAATAATTTCATAACAATTATGCCATTATGATTGCTCTTGCGGCATACGATATGTGATAACATAATACGTTAAATCGGAATAAAATTATCAGTCCGTATAACATAATTTAGTTTTTATCATTTATATATACATACACATATGTATACATAGAACTAAAATGATTGAAATGGCTTTGGTCCACTGGATAAGAGCTTTGGCCTTTTAATAAGCCCTTTCGTAACAAGTCTATAATATATTGCACGCGTGTGCCCATCGGTAATCTGTTTTACACCCTAACACTTCAACAATCCCCGACCAATCCCATCGCCGCCGCCATCCACACATTAATCTATATATTATATTTATTGACAACATGGAAATCCGCATTTACAACACACCTAAAAATGAAATGTAGAACACATAATAGTATGACACTTTCCGCTTTTGTGTACATTTTTTTTTTCAATATTATACACCACTCTTAAATGGTATTAAAATAGCGGTATAAATCGAATTAAATTATTAACGCTTGTTTAAATTGAATGCTATACTGTCGTGTTCCGCTAACGAATCCATTAATCGACACTTATATTTTTCCATTAAAAATTATCGTTGTTCAACATATATACGCGTAATCCGTAATATTAAAGGGATTCGATACCAACTGTTCTCTATCAAAATAGACCCATGTTATATAAATTGTACTGGCTGTCCTAGTACTTAGGTAAAATGCTGAAATAATGCCCAAATTCACAATGAAGTTTACTGGAAAAAAATGTTTCCCCTTTTTGAAATTGATTCCATAAACCTTTTTAAATTGTTTTGTTTAGAATTTTAAAATGTACATACTTTTGAACAATAAAATAGACCTGATACTACTGATGACTGCGTCACTGTTGTATAGGTGGAAATTTGGAAAGGTAGGATACATAAATGTATTTAATTTATATCTACAAGCAATGATCAGCTATTGCTAATGAAAAACTATTCTAAGCGAAGTTCGGTTATACATATTTTGAAATTCCGTAATTTTTACGATTTTTGTCAAAATTTGATCGTAAAATGTGTATACGAAAAATAAACTACTACATTGCGCACAATTTAGAATCAAATAAATACATTTAAAAACGTTAGAAAGTCGATTTTAGTTAGTAAAATCCATAACGAATTCAAATATATTTTCAATATTCGTCTCTATAACTAGAATACTGTGTACAATTGGAAAATAATTGATACATTTAGACAAAAAATACCCCTTCTCGGCCGAACACCTTCCCCTTAAATAGTTATGGCGCCACAGATTACTGAAAAAGTTCCGACATTAAAATGTAAAACAAAAAAAAATGTGAGAATTTTACAAAATTGGACACAATTTGAAAAACCAACACCTCTTAATACAGTTGAGTCGTGATAACTCGAAAAACTTAATAACTCAATTTTTCGTATTTGATGAGAAAACTCTTGAGAAAATCGAAAAATAATCGAATAATACATACGTGCATACTTATAATACCATTGTACCTATTTTAGTTTTTTGTATAAACTGATAATATTTTGTTATCATAATGGGTATTTCAAGTTTAATAAATATGTAATAATTAAGTTTAATATTGGTGAATGTTTACAGAACAATTGTAAATCGATAAAAAGCCAAAATATCGGTACAACACTTTTCCACGCATAAAAATAATAAATATAAAAATTAAATACTTTTAAAAAAATAATAAATACTTTTAAACACTCGTGCGCAACAATAACAATAACATTGTTATACTTATTATTATAATTTTTTTTTTTGTTTAAGCTATGGCGTATTGTTTTACTGGAATTCAAAAAATATAATAATTGGAACGTAATAGTACTTTTTTCATTTTTTTCATAGCGTTATTTTCGTTTTACAATATTATAATATACTATAAAATATTAAACAATTTAAACCAATACAAACATGGAGATAAAAAGAAAATGGCATCAGTACTTAATTTTTTTTAACGGGGAAATATAACAATTAATCGAAACATGTATAATATTATTATTGACCGTATAATAGTTGGACGATTCCGTTGGATTCGTCTAATGATACTAATGGATATTATTGTGATAAACACTCGACATCACTTACCATCATAATTTTACTGCGGATAACGTGCAAACCTATAAATCTATAATATACCCATGTGTATATGAGATGTCTAACTACTAAATACCGTAATAATAATAATATAATCCTCCTCTATTTACAGTGTCTATTAAACTACACACTATATGATAATAATATACAGTTCGTATCCACGTATCTATACAGACACTGTTTAAAACTATATAGGTACAGTTAAAACTGAGTTTACAGTGCCGATCACGATTACCGGTGAAATGTAATTTTTTAGTAATTTTGAGTATACCAAATACGTCCACTTATACATATTATACTATTTCGTCCCTGGGAAAGAGGGCTCAAGTCGATTTTAAAATTAGTTTCCTAGTTTTAGTTAACCTTAATTGTATAGGTTTTCAATGTACGAACAAATTAAATATTGAAAATACATACACTTGTTGTACACAGACGAAAATGTCATCATGATGTGTTTATAAATATGAAACGTTGTAATAATTTGCATTTTATATTATAAATTACAATACAATTATGTAATTTAGACCGAAAAAAAAATTGCATTAAACAAAATTATTAAAAAAACGCCATAAATTGACTGAAGCCATTATTCTTCCTTAGGACCGAAAATATTCTTTAATGATAAAAAATGACGATACATTTTGAAAATTAAATAACATATTTAATTATTTTTGTTCGAATATATATTGTAGGTAACTAAAAAAAAAAAAAAAAACAATAAAAACGTAAATTATTTTCTTTGTCAATAAAAAAATATATCCCAAAACGGCATTTATTTTCAAAATTACACCGTCATATTATTATTATTATTCCTGTCATTATCAGAAAAAAAACACCCAATAACCTTTTCGCTATAACCGTTACCATATCCGAATTTCAATATTTTATTTTTTATCGTAAATTAACTTTTGTAAAAAAAAAAATTGCAATATGGCAAGCGTATTATGTATTACAATAATTATAAGGATATTTGTCTGTGAAAAAAAAAAACCAAAACACGTTATAAAATACCTATACTTATTCTATAATATTATGCTATTTAAAATAATAATATTTTCAACATCGGGAAATATACAAAAGAAATATTGTTACTGATGCGATTTTACTTACGTCACTGGATCGGCGGAGGGACTACACAGTACGATGTGAAGCGACGGCCGAATAATACGGAATAGGACACTGGCGGCGCTATCGGAAGGGTTTTATATACGCACCACCGGTCCCTGCGCCGAGGGCGAAACTTTGCAAAATCAAACAAGTCTCTCCCTCACGCCCTGCCCCATACCCCACGGATACACCCTCCCATGTCGCCCGGATATTAGATATAATAATATAAATGATATATATATATGATTTTGAGCTAATTTGTTTTGTCCACATTTTCTTGTGAAATGTATTTAATATTTTCGTATTTTCGTAATATTATAATAACCTGTGGAAAAGTTACGTGAATTTACATTTAATACACAAAAGGGAAATTTATTAGAGCCCAGTAACCAAAATGATAAAAACAGAACAATTATACTTGCAGGGTTTTACTCAGTGGCGGTTCCAGAGGATATCGCTCCCAGTTCACTCTTCAATATATAATAAATATACTCATAGCCCCGAAATACTCTGAGCTTGATTCGTCATTGAGCTCATCATAATAATGTACGCCAAATATACATTTTCACAATCACCCTCCTCGTTATCTTGTCCTCGATCCGCCTCTTTGTGGATTGACTCGAGTGGTGACCGCTGGCCGGGCACTTCTATATTAAGGCCCCTATTTAAAAATTTGAAGTAACGTAAATTGTACTCTAAACAGTAAACAGTATAGATGTATGACGTATGTGTACAATATTATTACTGCACGAAATTTGTGCAGTTTAATATTAAATGCAGTTTATTACAACAATAGTAGATAGGTACAAACAAAATGACATTGTGTTTTTTTTAACTTATATTTTCGTTTTTGTTTCCATGAACCATTTTATCGGATTTGATCAAAATAATATTTTTGAGGCAAACATCTTCATACAGTATTCCAATACCATAATCGATTTTATGAAAATAAAACAAAATTATGGGCCCCTTAATTATCTAAATTAGAGTCATGGTCATTTAAAACATATCACCGGCACCTCAATTTGGTGGCTAATTCGCTCATATTCGTCCGTATGTCCCATCAAGACTGATTCTCCATCGAGTATGATGAAATTCTATAAGAAGATGTGTTTTATATGAACGGCCGTAAACCCTTTTGCAGTCAAACAATAAAAAAGTACTACCCCAGTCAAATTTACTTTCACAAAAAGTGCTATATTTATAAATCGATGTAATAATTCTAGTAGAAAAGTTGTTCACAGATAAAAAAAAACGTTATTGTAAAACTATGAGCTTCTTCGCTCCACTTAGAATCTAAAAAATAATGATTTGGATGTAATTTTCTCTACAGAAAACTGAGAGACGCTAAATTTTTTTCGTGCCTCTCACAGAGTGGCATTTTAAAATGCAATATAAGTATTTAAATGACATTTTGTACACAGATAAATATTTCGTGAAACGTATGAGCTCTTAAATTCAAAAATAACAATGCATCACCTCTAACTTCTCAATTGTGTGATTAAAAAATCAGAATAAAATTCAAGAAAGTAGCACAACTACAGAGTATGACAGATATTACAGACGAATATAACTTCGTGGGACTTTAAATAACTCATTATCAACATAATATTTTTTTATTATAATTTTTTTTTTTTTTTTTGCTTTAATTGGTAAATAAAAATATTTTATGGGCCACATTAAACTTTAATTTTTCATCATTTGATTTGAAATAATAATATAAAAAAGTTAGAAAAAAAACATTTTTAAAGACGTATTATTAAGTTTTTATTGAAAATATTATTGGAAAACCTAGGTAAATTTAATCTGTAGATCTTTCCAACTAAAAAATAATCATTGAAATCAGACCACTTTACAAAGTATAGGGTTTTCCCCGTAAATCATGTTTTTGAGCTAAAAAAACACACAGACACCGGTACATTAATTAACTTCTATAGAAAATTATTTGAACAAAATTTTTTAAGCCCATAGTTTAACTGTATAAACTGTTTTGTGGGGAAAAATATACTTTGGTTATAGACTTAATTTAAAAATAAAATGTACACCATAGAAGTAAAACACTTTCACTGTACGATATTTGTTTTATTTTTTCGATATCATAAATACAAACAAATTTATTATCATTTAAAAATCTGATAATCTTAAGTTTTTTCAAACAAAAATATTTTACTTAGTAATAGTGAAAAAGTCCATAATCCGAGTAGTCTTTATACTCACGAAACGGTTTTTAGTGAGTATTTTTGTTAATTTTATAATCACATAATAAATATAGTTATGATAATGGCATGGTGTCGTTGTCAGAAATTTGAAAGTAAATTTTAATATTTTTGAATAAATACAATTTCATTCTTACAAAATGTTCGTGAAATATGGCCATACGTAACCCTTGTAGTATGGGATGTAGAATGTCCTATTAACTAGTTATACCAATATTGAATAAAATATTGTTTTAAAATATATTACCTGCCTGTAATATACATACTATGTCACGTATTTGGTAACTAGGTTTCTTTTTTTTATCACGAGCCTGTGATTTTCTCAGAGTAATTTGAATTTATAAACTTTATTTTAACACTATTTTCAATTTTTTATCACTATGTTTCATAATATAATAATAATAATAATATATTTCACCAAAAAAAGCGATAAACAACAACGATAAAAAAAAAAAAAAAACAAAATTATTGGTCTATCCACTATAACCAAAGGCTGTGCTGTGGGTAACAATTTTAAGTATAATAAAATGAAATAAAGAGAAACCAAAAACAAAAAATCCTCCGAGAAAATCACTAGATAAAAAAATATAATCCCGTACACAAAGTTGGTATGAACATTTTCATGTTTTTTTTTTGTACCCTTCCTTTTTTATGTACTTTCTAACACACGGATCAATTTACTACCAATTACGGTAATAACAAAAAGCCAGTATAATACCTATATGATCGACTATCGTCGTACACGTTATAAACATGGTAACTACTGCACAACGCGTACTTATATACTCTGCTTTCTCGCATTGTCATCATCATATTATAATGTAGCTATTATTATCATTTCTATTTTAGATACAAACCTGTATCCTTATTTCTACAATAATTATAATAGTTTTATACCTATTTGTATTTGAAAAAAAAATTATTAAAACACCTGTCTATATTATTATTAACAGTATTTTTTTTTTTTTTTTTTACTAACAATATTATATTACAGCGTTCGATATAAAACAGATTTGTGCATGTACACCTGCAGTAGGCACTTAATCATAATATTATAATAGGTAAGTCCGTTTTAATAGCATTACGGTAGTAACGACACGAGTTTGAAATGGTAAAACTATCAAATTTCAACTCGAAGTATCAGTATAATATATTGTTATAATAATATTCATAAAACCGAAGTGACAAAGGATTATCGAACAAATATTGTCCAGGGTACTTTCACTTTTATATTCGTAGTTAGAAATTCTTGTTTTATAGCACTTTTTTTTTTCTTTTTTTTTTATCTGTTAACAAATTTTATACCAAAAGACTCGCTCAGATTTCTAAATGTAGTACCTTTTCTGAAAGCAAATCGGTGTGGAAAGGTACTTAGGAAGGTCATTTTTTGATTTTCTCAGAAGTTTACTCATCAAACTTAAAAAACCGAAAAAAAAAACGAGAAAATATAAGAAATGTAGGTATTACTTAAAATATATTACGGCCTTTTTTTTTTCTGTAAACAACTTTTCTACCAACAATTTTGCTCCAACTTTTAATGATAGCAATGTTTCTAAAAGGAAATTTCACTAGGGAGGTTTTTCTTTGTATATGAATTTCCCCTAGAATTTTATTCACCAAGTTACATTTTACATAGAAACGACCAATGAAAAAAGTGAACTCCCCGGGAAAATTTGATTCAACATTAGTAATAACGTATCTTGTCCAGTAAGATATATGTTTTATTGTTCGTATTAAAAATAAATAGCCGTACGGATGTTCGACATTTTTGAAAATATTTTAATTTATGTTCATTTACGCCTTTTTCGTAAAAAATACAGTACCTATATATATATTTATACATATACCTACTATAATAATAATTATGTGCAGTTATTATAATATGCGGTAGGTTTTGATTTATAGATTTATGTGCGGTTTTTGCCCATGATTGTGTGGTTTATGATTGAGGTTGTACAATGTACAATGTATATGCATACGCAAACATTTACCAATGGCAATTATTATTTTTATTAGTTTTTTTTATTTTAAATTATATTTATTTACAACCTATACAATAGAATTATAAGTAAATATGATAACTAGTTTTACAAAATGGCATTAATGTTAAGAATAGAAAGGCTCCCAGTAGTGCTACCAAACAAGAGAATATTTAAGATCCTATACTGGGTAGTATAAAATACTTTACAGTTGCAAAGTAATTTCAACATCAAAAATAATATAGAATAATATTTTATCGTACAATAAAACTATGTCCTGCACGGTACCATGTGATATCACCGGCCGAACTCACCTACTCTTTTTTATACTTTCCTGGGTATTTATATTTTCCTTAACAATAACTTAATCCACTTCTTAAAATCGACCAAAACACTATTTCTCATTAATATTTCCTAATGCTAACCAACACCAATATTTCACAATATTTGTTGTTGCATCATACAACAGCGTTTAACAGGTCCCTGTAGGGTCACCGTCATTTTAATCTTCCGGGAAAATGTGTTGCGAAGGACAGTATTTTAATTATTAATGGATTGGAATGAGAATGTAGTTTTGAATTTGACGTAATGGGATTTGGCCAGATCTTAAGGGTAGATAATTTCAGGTTTTTTTATGAAGGTTTTTGTTAGTTAAACAGACACACAAAGGTTTTATTAATAGGCATAGGCACAATATGCCTATGAAGGGTTCTGAAGATATTGGACGGTCAGCATTCATTATAAACACTAAATATTATAAAATATTTTGAAAAGTATATACATTTAAAACCTGAACAGACTGTATTTATTTGTATTTTAAATTCTGAATGGGGTGAAAAAGCTTATGGTTTTACAAAGATG